AGACGATATATAGATAGAAAGTATAGAACCTATAGAGTTCCTAGCGGACTTAAGTCGTACTTTAATTACTAGCTATTAAGACTAACCGAATCCTAATCCGATTAGCGCCGAAGTTAGTACCTACTAGTACTACTACTACGTAGAGGATATAAAGTACTATATAGCGAGCCGAGCGTAGATAGACTATATATAATATAGCGTCTTTTCGCTCTATTCTTGGGGTATATTCTCGGAGAAAAAGTTACTTATTTAGGAAGCGCTTTACCTAAATAGGAAATTACTTTTAGCGAAAATAGGACTACCTCTAGGTTAGGATATATAATATTACCTAGAATATAGGCTAAAGCTAGGATAGTATCGACTACTATAGTAATATTATAGTATTCGGCTTTCGATAGTATTTTATAGTAAATAATAAAGTAAGCTCGGACGTAGGCTAGAACGATAGTATATCGATATTATTAGTAACGAATAATTTAGTATTATAGTAGATACTCGAATATAGTATTAAATTCCTCTATAGCTAGAGTATACTATAGTAGGCCTATTATAGTATATAGGAAAAGTTTAGGCTAAGTCCTCTAAAAGAATTAGGCTTATTTTAGATATAGTTACGCTAGTTAGGCTAATAATCCTACTTCTAATAACTAAACCCCTATTAAATCGGGCTTTTCTCTATACTAATAAATTTTATATATAAAAGTTAATAACCTAATTTAGGATCGTTAGCTACTAGAGATAGTTTATAAAATAACTTTATATAGCTTAAAAATAAAAAAAGACTATATAATTTTATTTTTAGTTTTTAGTAAAAATAAAATTATATAGAATACTAGGCTTAGGAGTTATACTATAGCTATTACTACTATACTATAGTAGTAGAATAGGTTCTAATATTTAACTAAATAGAGAAAAATTCTTTTACTTTATATACTATTATTTAGATCTTTTTACTAAATCTAATTTTAAAGTAAAAAAAGTTAGCTAGTATAAAAATTAAATTTTTATTTCTAGATTTTTATCGTATACCCTAATTATTAGATAGAGTTTAAAAGTATAAAAATATTTAGTAGATATCTATTTAAGAGTAATTTCTATAGTCTAGAATTATACTACTTAACTAACTAGCTAGTAGTTAAATAAATAGCTCTAATTAGCTACTAAATAGAAAGTAGGATCTAAACCTAATATAAGTATTTTTATTAGGAATAGGAAAAATATATATACTAGTTTAAATAGAAATATTAGATAGTATAGTTTAGATAAGTAGGCTAAAACGGATATTTAAAATATTAATACTAAAAGTTATATAACTAAAAAGAGTTTATTTCTTTTTAGTTCTTCTACTTTTTATAACTAACTAATATAATTATACCTAAATTAGTTCCTACTATTATTTATTAATTTAGTTACTTCTACTATATTTAATACTTATATAAATCCTATAGAGTAGTTTTAGTTTAATATACTACTACTATATTTCTATAATATATATAAATAATATAGTAGAGTTTTATAAAAGTCTTTTTATACTTAATATATATTTTAGGCTATTATAAGTATATATTATAGCTATATATAGTTATAAAGTATAATATAGATATCTACTTCTACTTTATAAAGTCGTTTTCTTATAATAACTAAAATAACTTAAAAACTATATTTTTAAGCTATATTAAAAATAGAGTATATTAATAGATTTATAAAATAAATAATATATCTTTTTTTCGAAAAAAACTAAGTATAGAAAAGTTAAATAATTTACTATTTATTATTTAAATAACTTACTATTTTAGCGCTTTATATAGACCCTTTTCTATTAGCTACTTTATATAACTTATAGCCTTTTATTTAAGAATTTATAGGTAGGAAAAAAATTTAAAATATATTTCTAACCTCTAATCTCGAAGCTATATATAGAATCCTCGAGCGACGACGAGTATTCTCGAGCGACGGCAGGCATCCTCGAGTAACAGCGGGCATCCTCGAGCGACGGCGGACATCCTCGAGCGACGGGCATTCTCGAGCGTCGTCCTTCCTCGAGCGTCGTCCTTGCGACAGCGACGGCCGCCGGCCTTACTACAGCGGTACAGCGGTACAGCGGTACAGCAGGACAGTGGCGGCAAGACTACGACAGCGAGGCTGCGACGGGTTCATCGAAATAGCTGCTTCGTCCACCGCTATTCTGTAGGCAATGGAGCTTTCTACTGAACCTCCGATGTCCAATCTCCTCGAGTACAGGAACACCCACCTGCCCGTACAGCGAGGAAAGCCTACAGCCCTTTAGCGAAGGACATCCACCTTGCAGTGCTCGACCGACGGTATCCGAGCTGAACGGCGACAGCGCAAACCGCCCAATCTCAAGCGCAACATACACCGATCTTGGAAAGACAGGAACTAGATTGACGACGAGTCGTCGGGATCCTCACCCAGCGGAGCGACAAGCTAGTCCACGGTACTCTGTGAGAACGATCGAGCGATCTTCACCATAATGCTGGGCCGCCGGCAGCGAAAGTCGAAGCGAACGAGATCGCAGGTCATCTCCATCCTAGGCAAAGGCTGTTCGCGAAAGACATGTCTCTACTCCTGCTCCATTAGAGGAGAGTCTTGCGGCCGGCGGCAGGATGACAGCAGCGACAACGACATACGTTCCGAGCCCAAGGCCCTTGCTACATCGCTCGCAATCAACCTTCGTGGTTTGCAGTCCACGCTCTGGCGCAACATACACCTGCAATGAATTCTCCATTGGGATCATGCTTTGAACACTCGACCGGCACTCATTTTCGATTAGGGAGAGCACATACCGCTGAAGCTTCGTGGACCGAGATGAAGGACGACTGCAGCACAGCCTGTCACCAACTGAATCGCAGCTCTGGGTGGGATTGCAGGCCATTAACCCTAACCCAAGCATAGGCATCACAGCTGGGTGGAGTCCATGCACGTCGCAAACTGCGGCCGTATTTGCCCGGATGCGGGACCTATAGACTGGTCGCTGCGATTCTGAAGTTCAGAGCAGAGCATCTCTCCCACCAGGTCGAATGTCGGCAGCGAGCCCAAGGAGGACTCTTCCGCTCAGGCCTTCGACAGGCGCAGGAGAAGATCGCACTGCGGAATCGTACTTCGTCGCCAGTACATCAAATGGTTGCCTCGTCGACGGTGCATGGAGCGCATCATCGCCCTCTGCTCTGCAGTGTGTTGTCAGCAGGATTGCCTCAGATGTCGAGGCTGACATCACTCGCAAAAGGATACATTCTGCGCCGCTAGTCACTTCGGCCGAAAGCACGAGGGCTTGGACGCAGCGGACCTGGGACCGGAAAACGAATCGCACGTGGTTCGCCGTGGTCGAAGGATCAGCCATGTCCGCATTGGGGTGTGTCTGCGAGAGCGGCGTCATACATCCGCTGTGCCCAGAGTTCTGTAGATGCGAAAGCGCAGCTGTGGTAGAGTACTGCCTGTGTGGAGTCTTGGCAGACAACATTGGGATCTATTATTGTCGGAGAGCGACAGCTGAGCCCTACCAACATACGGGCGAAACACCATTGAGATGGGCGTGGAGATGGGCATGGAGATGGACGGAGAGGTGTATATAACCTGCATGTCCTCGATGCCTGACTGAACAACACCGCTCGGTTAGTATCTCATCACAGCAGCATTTATCCACCGATTCATATCCAAAGTCCTCACCTTCTCCTCAATCTCCGCAAGCTACCATGGCAATGAACGTCACCGAAGGCTCCGACGGCACTCTGTACTACACAGCACCCAACGGTTTGGTCTTTGCCGCTGGCGGCGACAACACCAACTGCACCATCTCCACCTGCCCGGTCGAGCTCAGCGTGTACGGTTACCGAGCCAGCCTGCCCTTCTCCATCCTCGTCATAGTCCTCTATGCCATCGTCGCAGTCATCCAACTCTGGCTGGGCATTCGCTATCGAGTATGGGGATTCATGAGCTGCATACTCCTTGGATGCATCACCGAGATCATTGGGTACGTTGGACGAGCACGGTCGTTGCAAACTCGGGCTGACGCTGGCGTAGATACGTTGGCCGGATCATGATGTGGGACAACCCATGGCAGGACAGCGGCTTCATCATGCAAATTGGTGAGTTTCCTTGCCAGCAACTTCGAACTCGCTCCATGCTGACTCCCTCACTGTCCTCATCACCATTGCACCCGTCTTCTTCGCAGCCGCCATCTATGTGATGATCTACCAGATGTGAGTCCTCGCAAGTTCGCATTCCAAGAACGTACTGACACTGCACCAGCGCCAACTACATCTCCCCATTATCCTCTCGCTTCCCTCCTTCGCTCTTCTACTGGATCTTCATCCCATGCGACATCATCTCGCTCATCCTCCAAGCAGCGGGTGGAGCAATGTCGGCAACATCAAACGGCGATGATCAAGCGGGCGTCAACATCGCTTTGGCCGGTCTGGCATTCCAGGTGTTCACCTTGGTCGCCTTCATCGTCGCCGTCCTCGACTACATGTGGTTGAGCAGGAGTGTCTGGCGCAATATGAAGCTGGGCTGGAGGTTCCAGAGCTACCTGATTTTCCTGTCCGCTGCGACGATCCTGATCTTGATTCGATGCTGCTACGTGAGTCAGCCAGCAACTTGCCTTTGAGACAATGAGTCTAACAGATCTCCAGCGTGTGTACGAGCTCAGTGAGGGATACTCGCGGGACAGCGAAGCTTTGCGAGACCAGCCATTGTTCATCGCCTTGGAAGGAGTGTAAGTCGCCAACCTCTCCCGCATTCAAGACGTAGACTGACAGCCACAGAATGGTCATTGCGGCAGCATGGTGCCTCGTTGGTGCTCATCCAGGCTTTGTCTTCCACTCGAAGAGCCATCCTTCACCAAGGAAAGCATCCAACCAGTTGTCCGAGAGCGAGGAGAGCAAGGTCTGATCTGTTGGTTGTGATGGAGATGTACATGAGCCAGGATTTGTCGATATCATAGAGGCGTTTGGGCTGGCACAGGTAATATGCAGCGAGATATCCACAATGCGATCCAATTTCATCGAGAAAAGGCGTGGCTTCGAATAATCAATGTGCTGCCTGGTCCGTCAAGGAGCTCGGCAAAGACCATACTTCCTTTGTCTGAAGTGTAGAAGGCAGTCTGGTTGAGGTGTCTACCAGGAAGCATCATGGGCTCGAAGAGGCGTGCTTCTTCGGGGATATCGTCCATCTCGAAGGCGGTCTTGTCCTCGGGATATCCACATATCTTTCTGGCCCGCCGCTCTTCTAGATCTGCAATCGCCTCGAGATATGCAGCAAGGTACGCACTGTCAAAGACACCTTGGAGGTTGATTTGCCGAATGATGGCAATGCAGCGACGTCGAATGGAAGATATACGACACTTGATAGCGATGACCATCATCGCAGTCACGAAACCAGTCCCGAAACTGAACAGAGGCGGCGTGCTGAACGTCTTGCCGGACGAGCCGCTGGAAATGTACTGCGACGAGGTCTGATGGAGATTGAGATACTTTTCGGCAAGGTTGGTGATGTGTGCGAACTGTTCTTCGAAGCGATCCGCCAGCATCTCGGTTGCATCTCGCCATGTCTCGACCCGATACCAGACGTAGAAGAAGAAGATCTGGCAGAGGAGATGGTCGGTCATGTTGTTCTGATCCTGCGAAACCGTCGCCCACGCATTCAGCCAGTTGCGAAGGTCCTGCCGCATCGACTGATAGCTCGTCAAGAAGCCATCGTCAGATTCAATAGGCACGATTCGAGAGATGCAACCAAGGAAGAAGTCGGACGTCTCGTCATCCAAACCAACGCACAGGTCAGCGTTGTCCTCAAGATAGCCTTCGCAGATGGTGAGAAGTTCTCGCCAGACCAGGTTCGCTCGAGTTGCTACGTAGTCAAGATGGATATGGGCTGACTGGACGTTTTGAAAGGCAAGTGGCAATCTGTCCAGGCAAAGTGTTTGAAGGTATCTGACGACGACAGTCAGCATTGAAAGCGGATCGGAACGAATAGCATACGGTTCTTCCTCATCGACCATGTTGAGGTCAGAATCCATTAGTACGAAAGTGTACTTCAATGCATCCAAGTAGCTTCGCATGGAGGTCGTCGTTGTGATCACCTTGTCGTCGTCGCTCTCAGTGGCGGGACTACTATCACCCTGCACATGCTCGTAGAGGATCTTGAGACCAGTCCGCAAATGCATGGTCGACTGCTCATCCCGCCCCATATAAGCCTCGAGGCAGAAGAATAGGAGAGAAGTGAGCAACACAATGACGACCTCATTCTCTCGAAGCTGATTATCACTCTTCTGGCCTCGCTCGATGTACTGCCGCATGAGACGCATTGCTTTGCTATACTGGCCAGTAGCGAACTCATGCTGAGACTTGTCAATGCAAGGTTGGGAAGAGAGCGTAAGAGATCTGTGCATCGAGCCCAAAGCAGTAGCAGCATGGGCCAGCGCAGGCTCTGATCGGCCGAGATCGAGGACGACATGCTGCCACCATAGCTTTTGCGGCAGCTGGTTGACTGTGAAGAGACGGAAGTAGTCGAAGGCGGCGCTCTCAAACGGCGTCAGCTCAATACTGGCGATGACGGGCCCCTTTTCGATGGCCGCAACGATTCGTCTCGGCCTGTAGGACGCAGACGGCAGAGGCACAAAGTCGTAGCCGCCGCAGACCCGGTTACTGCTGGAGCACGCATTGCAGACCGGACGGGTCTCGTCACACTTGACGTGGCGCTGCCTGGTCCGAGTTAGTTAAATGGCGATAGAGGTGAAAAGCGTAGTCGTCTCATGGCAGAGGACGTGATACCTGCAGGTCCGGCATCCAGAGCGGGTCTTGGAGTGCTTTGCGCGCTTCCTCACCACTGGCACGGTCATGGCGTCGCCGGTGCTCCGGTCATTGGGCCTGGTTGGTTGATCAGTGCGAAACTCGCACGTTTCGATGCAGACGACTGCGAGACGATGGAGTTTGGTGCTGACAGTGATGAAGCATTGCCGGCCTGGCCAAGATTCAGGTGCGCCCGCGAAGGTTTCAGCTGAAACCAGGGGTCTTCGAGCGTTGGCGGGTGCGGTGTGGCAGTGCTCCTCCACGAAAACCTTGCCGTGGTTAGTCCGAACTACTTCCTCACTGCTGCAACTCTCTCATCAGCCATTATTGATGAACGACGAGCCAGCCGCTCTGGGGAATTCTTCGCTGTCCCGTTCATCAAACCACATCCCCTTGACTTTATCGTCTGGTCAGGTCTGGTGCTAAACGGCAAAGCCAGAGCAACATGTCCCCAGCTCCATACGACCAGGTTGAGACATCGGCCGAGGGCAATATATCTTGAGTACTGCAAACGCATGGTACGATCATTCAACCTCTTCATCATACCAATTGCCTCTACCTATTCAGCAGCTTTTGGCTTACCTTTTTCTGCCATGAAGCTCTCCAACATTCTTCCCGCCGCCATGACTATCGCACAAGCTCTCGGAGCAGCTTTCTCCCGCTCGCCCACGCTGCAAGCATACGTCTACCGTGGTCCAGCCTCCTGTGACGGATGCCCCGAGAGCGTTGGCGAACTCCTCGAATCCTCATGTAGGAAGATCAACGTGACATACGTCGGCCCCAACGAAGAAATCGACATCACCGCGGAGTCTCTGAGCGAAGCCGACATTTACGTTCATCCTGGTGGAGGAGGTAGATTCTCTCCGCAGCAAGGGCCGGTATTATCACTAGAACTGATCGCTCTGTTAGGTCTTGACGATGCATGGAAGCACATGAAGCAATATAAGCCGGTCATCCGAGATTTCGTCCAGAACGGCGGGCGGTATCTTGGGTTCTGCTTGGGAGCATATCTGGCTGGTCATGATCCCGGGTTCGACTTGCTCAGCTCTCAAGACGACGCAGACGAGGAGGTAAGCCAGTCAGGAGCACAAGTCGACGACGAGGCAGACACAGTTATCCAAGTCGACTGGACTTTTGCCAGCGGGCCGAAGAAAGGCAAGACAGACCACAAGAGATGGCTGTACTTCCAGGATGGCGCATCGTTCAAGCTTTCGAAGACTTCATCGGCCACAATACTGGGAAGGTACTCCAGCAATGGTGATCCAGCAGCTATCCTTACCACCCTCGGCGAGGGCTGGGTTGGGTTGGTAGGACCTCACCCCGAAGCAGATCAGGATTGGTGTGAGTGCTGTGTTCGGAACGATCATCTGACACTCGCCGCTAACTGACCACGACAGACGACGATGCAGAGATCAGCAACCCCGATGGCATCTATTTCGACATAGGCCGTGACTTCGTCGAGGCTACTGTGACCGCTGGGCAATGATCAATCATCCCCAAGCCGTTCATGGCCTGTCCTCTTGTCCAGCATGACATCTTCCACTGGGAGGTAAGCCTACCCTGACGTAAACGAGAGACTTTCGCTTAAGGGCTATAGTTCTGTATAGATGAAGCATTCAATCGATTACGTTACACATTATACATTACCTAACATACCATAGCCTGTGTTGACCGGGTCACTCTTCGGTTGCCGTCTCAATGCGAGTCAGCGCTCTCGACATTCTTCAAGGCCACTCCACCAGCAGCTTGCCCCTGTCGGTATTTGTGCACGGCGGCAGCAGCAAATCCCATGTATACGATGTAGCTGAGACTGGTAAGCGAGCGTATACCATATCGCATCGAAATCGACACTCACAAGATTGCCGCAAATAGGATGAACATGCCCGCGACCCACGCTGACTCGTGCCAGGCGTACAGCATGATGCCGACGATTCCAACAGCGACATTCAGCGCCATGAGGAAGACGCAGGTGACCAGCCAGTGGATCGCGTGATACTTCCATATGAAGTACACGGCAAAGTCGACAATCGTCCAGACGAGTGAAATGGCCGGAGCCAGTGTGAGGATCACCCACCCGGTGCTGTAATCAACCGTCAGTCAAGCCCGAACGTTAAGAACTTCTCACTTCTGCCTACTTCCTGCCCAGGTCGTTGTCGGGTTCATTCGCCACGGTGGCATTGATCGCAACGGTGACAATCAGAGTGGCAAGAGCAACGGCGAGCGAGGCGCTGAGGAACACGAGTGTGGTTTTCATGGTGGTTGTCGAGGAGGAGTTGTCGGTTTCTGCCCAAGCAGTTCGGCTGGCTGCTCTGCATTTCCTTTGTACCGTGGTGGAATGTTGCACCAAACATTGGCAATGAGATCATGTGCCCAGCCTGCCAAGTCGTGCCATTGTCGTACTCGGTGCAGATCGATGCTCAAGCGAAGGCTGTGCTGCAGTGGCGGCTGCAGCTTTGAGCCGCATTTGCCTCAGGTCTCCTTTTCTTCCACCACTCTCTGCTCTCTTCCAGCCAGCTTCCACCAACATTCATTTCAGCCGCAGACCTGGCTGGCATGCCAAGGTGGAATGCCATTTTCGGGAACCAACCCCACCGGTACGAAGAGAGGACCTGAGGCTACCTGCGGGATTGCAGCTGCTTAATAAGACAGCACCGATCAAGACAGCCGACGAGCGAATTCATTAGATGACAGGACCGTTTGAGAGCTGTGACAGTCGAACTGCTATACTTGCTGGAGAATGCATTCAATACACTGACCGTCCACTCCTCTGGATATTGCGGAGTCCCTGCTCCAGCGTGTGGCAACGCCTGCTCGCCATCAGACTATGGTGCCTGAGTTATCTGCACAATTGAATGCACCTACTCCAGAAGAGCCATCATATGTCTTACGGATCGACTCCGCCGTGCCGTAACTGCGCGCTGGTCACCTCATGCCAGCGTCAAGTCATTTTCAAAGCACTCACACTCCACCAACTGTCAGAAAGGCTCCAACAAGGACAATCAGAGCATGAAACAGCCACATAGCTTTGCTTCTGACGGTGCCGTTCCAGCCATGCCCTCCAAAATCGTAGAACCACATCAACGCTGGAAAGATCAGGCTCATCGGAGCAAAGCAGACGGAGCCAGCGAGAGACAGCATGTAGCTGAAGACTGGGATTGCTGATGCAAAAACAAATGCCAGCGCACCAAAGACTACATTCAGTCCGATCCAGCATGCCAAGTGCTGCCAGGTATTCTGCTGAGAATGCGGTGATCCGCGAAGTACACGAACGAAAGCATACTTTGCCGCGGCATGGTTGAAGATGCCCGTGCTCACTACCAGGCTGGGCAGTGGGATGCCGTACGCAACCTGGATGAATCAGTTGAGCACTATTGTAACGGTCTGTGGATATGGCCTACCTTCTTAATCAGCGGCCCGGCACTCCCCAACGAAGGCGTGGCGATCCATTGTCCGCAATAGTGGTAGACGACCAACGAGACGGTGAGGTAGATGGCACCAACCATGAAGCCAACCGGAATGACAGCTTTGCGATAGTCCTGGGGTCGTCTCATCTCGGCAATGATGGGAAGGTAAACGGGACCTGCCGAGGAGGAAATGGATATGGTTGCTGTTGCCGTGATGCCAGCTGCAAAGGTCGGCGCTCCGACGACATCAAATCCCAATTCAAAGGCACCTTCAGCGGGAGCAGCTGCCGGGCGGTCACGAAGAGCCACGCCGACGACGACAGCAAGAACGCCGCCAAGCACCGACGCAACCCCGAGGGTCATCGGCCATGTCATCCTGTCCCACGTACGGATAGACGAGAACATTATGACGAGGATAATGGCTGCGAAGCTGAACCACGCCGAGCGAGCAGGCTGCGTGCTCCGACAGGGCGTTGAAAGCTATCGATGTGCCCAAGAGGCCGGATCCTGTGCAGAGGACAAAGGCAACGACGAACATGATGCCAACCAGTTCACGTCCGACTAGTCCCCACATAACGCCATACATGTCGACGATGGCTGATCGGGAGAGAGTCAGTATCGCTCAAAGATGTTCGGAGTGGCTGAGGTTCTCACTGTGGCAGTATGGCCGCCGATTGCGGAAATCAATGAGGATGCAGGTAGTGTCTGCAGCTCATTGTCAGTACAACGGGATGGCAAGAGCCGTTGATAATGCACGCTGGATCCCTCATACATGTGTTCAAGGCTTGCCAGCCGACGACCACCAACGAGCCAGGCACCGCTCCCAGCGTTCCCATTGCGCTTGGTATGCCGAGAACGCCAGTCGCCACTTGCACTTTGAGCAGGATGATTATCGGTCGCTGCCAGGTGACAGTCCGGAAGTCAACTCCGTCCGCCGAGGCTTTGAAAACTTCGTCTTTGTCGACGACGGTACCATTTCTAATGCTGGGCGGACTTGGCTCGCTTTGCTGCAGTTCAACCACTGGCTTTGCAGATCTCTTCTCGTCAATGTTGTTAGTCGAGTCCATCATGCTGGGTGATCAGTCTGATCGCAGTCGTTGGCTGTTGTTTGCGCGATCACTGGAGATTGGAAAACCAGGCAGCTTGTACATTTATACATGTCTGCAATAACTTCCTCCGATAAGCAAGCTACTGGAACTGACAACGAAGATCGGGAGGAAGAGTTATCTTTGGGGCAGTCTGATGAACTCTCTTCCAGGCGAGCCAGCACCCCTTGCCTTGACCGATCCAGCTCCCGGCGAAGCGGTGCTTCAAGCGGGTCGTTATCTTCACTCTGCATGATTCAGAGAGCTCAGTCTTCTCTTCCGCCATCACAGATGGCCTATCTGCGGGTACGATATCAATCTGACCTCGTCTTCCACTCGATCAATCGCACGTTGCCTCCTACAACCGCCACAGCCTCTCGCCCAAAGCACAGATCTCGCCATCTTCGACTGTATCTGCATCTGACGACACTCTCCACGGGAGCCCTAACCATTGCGACTGGCAGAAGATGGGCTCAGCACCGGCAGGTGGGAAAAGAGTACATCTCAACTTCTTCGAGACAGCATGTAGAGGCAATCACGAATGCTCTGGACAGTGGGCTCGGCCAGGAGACAACTCTTGCACCAAGGGCAGCCTCGACTACTACATCAACATGGCCAAGCTAGCTGACAAGGCCAAAATCTCGGTCATTTTCTTCGCAGACACCTACGCAGGCCATGCCGTGTATGGTGGCAACATGGATGCCATTCTGCGATCCGGCACTCAAGTAGCGCAGCTCGACCCATTGGTCATCATATCGGCCATGGCAGTGGGTATCCAAACGAACTGTTGCCTCGTAAGACAGACTTATTAACACACCCTGTGTAGGCTGTGACGAAGTCAGTCTCATTCGGGGTCACTGGAAGCACGAGCTATATCCCACCGTTCCCTCTGGCCAGAACATTCAGCACCCTCGACCACCTCACGAAAGGCCGCATAGCTTGGAACGTTGTTACCAGCTGGTCTGAAGCTGCCGCAGATGCGTTTGGAAAAGACCTAGTCCCCCATGACCAACGCTACGAGATCGCCGAGGAGTACATGGAAGTGGTCTACCGCCTTTGGAATGGCTCATGGGCTGACGACTCTGTGAAATGGAATCCAAGCACGAGAGTGGCGTATGACCCTGCCAGGGTCGCCAAAATCGATCACGATAGGAAGCATCTCAAGATGTCTGCCCGGCACCAGGCGCACCCGTCGCCGCAAAGGACGCCGTAAGCCAAATCCTTCGAAATCTTGCCATGTATTGCTGATCTTTGAGAGAGGGTCATCTTCCAGGCAGGAACTTCCAAAGTCGGGCAGGCCTTCGCGGCGAGACATGCAGAAGCCGTCTACATTGGAGGCCTTGTTCCATCGCAGGAAAGCTACCAGATCAAGGCTGCGCGAGATCTATGCCGGGAAGCAGGCCGCGATCCGCACTCGATCAAATTCTTTGCAGCTATCAACCCGATCCTCGGTCGTACAATAGAAGAAGCGCGAAGTACGACGAGGCGATGCAGTATGCCGATGCCATCGGCGCTCTTGCTCAGTTCTCGGGCTACACCGGCATTGACATGAGCGAATATCCCCTGGACGAGGAGCTGAAGCTCGACACTTCGAAGCCCAAGGAGAGCGCTGTGCAGGGATTTTTGGGCAATTTCGGCGACAGCCAGGACGACGGGGACATCTGGACGACACGACGGCTGGGCGAGAAGATTGCGGTAGGTGGATTCCACCCAACGCCAGTGGGTACGCCAGAAATGGTCGCCGATGTCATGCAACAGGTCAGTGCCAACAAACCCAAGGCCGTGTCTCGCACTGACACCGCAGCCAGTGGATCGACGGGGCGGATGTCGACGGCTTTAACATGGCCTACATCAGCAACCCAGGCTCCTTCGAAGATATCGTGGGGTTTCTTCTTCCCGAACTGCGACGGTGATGCATGGTATTTGAAGACTACGCTGTGCCAGGTGGTACATTTCGGGAGAATTTGTTGCGTGAGCCGTGCCAAAAGAGGCTGCGATAGGACCACTTAGGTAGTCAATTCAAATTTGAGGGCTGTAAAGAGGAGGCGGACAGCAGTGTTTAATGTCTGAGGTGGTTTTGCTTCAATCACCCGAGCAATGCATGGAGAGTTATAGCCTATTCAATGCCAGAAACTCCTCTGCTATATCTTCAGCCCCCAAATCAGGCTCGAAGTTTGCCCCCTGAATCTCTTTGCGAGGAACGCCACTTCTCACCAACTTGACATTCCCAAACATCGGCCACAGAACACCATCTAGTGCGCACAAGGCTAGCACCCTACACCCCTTGTCGATGAACTCGAGCGATGCAACACAGTCATACGCCCAGACACAAGCGTATATTTGCATGCGACCTCGCTCGAGCATGGTCCAAGAACTCCCTGTGCAGCAGGTCCAGGTTGTTTGGTGGAATGCCATGCTCGATGAGATATTTCCAGGTCTTGGATAGATGCGATCCGTCTATCGCTGGCTGATTGGAGGGAATCATGGTCTTTTGCGCCATGCTACGACGCTCTTCCGCAGACATGATGGCTGGCCCGACAAGCGTGAGGCTGTGGACGAAGCCTGCGTACTTGGCTGCGAGATCTGTGCCAATGACAGCGCCAGAGTGATGGCCGATGACATGGCAGCCGTGATGAAACTCAGGCAGGCTGCGGAATACCTCGTGGTACAAATTGGAGTACCAATCAATGCCAGATGGAGCATCTTCATGGTCAAAAGACTCGCCAAACCCGGGCATATCTGGGGCGAAACAGGAAAAGCCGCGAGCAGAGAGGATTTGCATGAGAGCTTTGCACGACTTCGAGGACGAGGCTGACATGTGGAGGAGCAAGACAGGCGCTGGGTTCGTTAGATGATCTTTTCGTGGCTGTGAGACACGGCAGTGCACCTGTCTCTGCTTCGTGTCAAAGTATGTCTTCTTGATTACAACATCGCTGCCATGGTTGGGTAAGGCCATCCTGAGAGGACTACGGAGCCTGGCGTCTCTGTCAATCGAAGTGTTGTCACGATACAAATATGTGATCTCTTGGAACGATGGTCTCTATTCGTCTCTCTCTGAATTCCTGGTCTCGAGATTCCAATCGAGCGGCGGCTATCTACTGCCACAGCTGGAACGTCCGAAAGATAGATTTGTTTCCGGTCTTGAGGGCTCCAAGCTCGCCGCGGCCAACCATTAGGCGAGCTGGCGGTATCCATATCTGCAATCAAAGAGACCGTCGGCAAAGGTAAAGGCACTGATACGGTATGGTAAGCAAGCGAGAGTTGCAGACAAAGCATGTGCCTCACTCCGCACAAACGCTGGCTATGATAACCTTTGTTGATCCTTTGGAATCTCGACTGACGGACGGAATTACGCCATGGGAGGCTTTGAGATGAACTCCCACTTCAATAGTACTTTGCATTCTACACGACTCTCCTGCACCTCAGCCTCTCGGGTCGAATGAAGTATTCATCCGGGTTGCGGCAGCAGGGATCACCATATCTAACGAATCGCTTTACCCCCAGCCTGTAAGGCGTTCAAGCTGTCGTATCACTTTCAGGTCTTTTACTCAATAGTCTGTCCAACCATGGTGAATCTCTGGCATGGAAATGGCAATCATAGCGTTTCGGATGAGCCACCAGCTGGTCATGCACGTTTGAGCACTGGATGGGATACGTGCTAGGTCTTCGACCCTCAGCCTCGGTTCCCTTCATCTCAAATGCCAGAATCATGCGGGTCAGCAGTGCGGAGATGATGCGATTGCTGATTGCTACGGCAGGGCAGATTCGGACGCCAGCACCAAACGCAACGTGCGGTGGGCCAGCTTCGGTGTCGATGTATCGATCTGGCTTGTACGTCCAGGCGTCTTTGCCGAAATGGTCTTCGCCGTGGTTGATCTGCTGAGCATTCATGATAATGGGCATGCCTTTGGGGATGACCACCCAACCTGGAAGTACAGTCTCTGCTGTCGTTCGGCGGGGGGTGGCGTACGGGGCAAATGTGAAGAAGCGAAGGGTCTCCTTATTCAGGGAGCTGATCAACGGCACACGCTCCGCGCGGAAGGCGTCCTTCCATGCCTTGTCCCTATCGCCATCGTAGGCCTCTAGAATGGCAAGATACGCCTGGTCCTGGGTGGCCTGACCTTCAGGGCTTGAGAGCCATGCAATAGTCTGATGAACGCCCGATACAACTGTGTCAGGGGCCGCCTGCAGCAATGAAAGACAGGTTCCGTGAACTTCCACTTCACTGAGCTTGTCTTGATCCAGTGCAGCGACAATGCAATCGACCTGCTCACCCGCCGCAACACGGTCCCGGTATCGGTTGTAGAGAACGTCACGATGCAATCGGCGGAATCGTTCAGCTTCTATTGTTTTGCTCATTGCCTCTGGTCGCAGCCGTAGCAGAGGTATGAAATGGCGGAAAGTCTTCGTGGAAGATTGAACCGCTGGAATGTTGTTCATGGATTTGATGAAGGAGAGCATGAAGTTGGCATCCAACTCCCTAAATCGAGACCCATACGTCAGCGACAGCGTAAGATCGAATACTATGTGTCGAAGCCACGCATATGTGTCGATTGCAACTCTTCCATCTTCGGACGACTCGTGAAGCCAGCCAAGGAATCTTTCCGACGAAGGCTCCAGCAAGTGGTAGTACTTGAGCCAGTTCGACTGCGTGCTTGCATGTTAGCTTGGCCAGGCTTACGTCTGCGAGAGGCTTCTGGAGAGCATGACTGACCTTTGAAAGAGCCCTCATTCCCGCCGCTCGACACTTACGAAGCTGCTCGGTCATGGGAAAGCCTGTGAGATCAATGCCCAACTTATCCACGAATCCTGGTTGATGCGGACGGTCGCTAAGAGAATGGCTCTGGTCGACCCACATGCTCTTCATAATGGCCCAATCTGAAACAACAGGCTCACTGATTGCCTTGAACACACAGGAAGATGGGATTCTGTAGCCTCGAGCTCCACCTGGAGAACACGCTTGAATCGTTGAGTCCCATCCTGCCTCCGAGAGAAAGGAGATGGCCGACAAAAGCCAGGGCGCTGGGGACCTCTGGTATGCCATGGACTCGGCGAAAGTTCGTGCGGCAAGCCTCACGCTGCAAAGCTCTTAGTGCTGAAGATGTAATTGGCAGCGGTATGGGTTTGCCTCACCAGAATTGTGCCCAGAATCAAGCCTGCTACCAAGGCTAGTACCACATAAGGCATATGTGTGCTCTCGGGCAAACATATCAGATTTGCAGCGGACATGGTGTTGAACTCAGCTTTCAAGCAAAAGATACATGCGCTAATACGAGCGTTCTGAGCGAGAGAATACTAATTTTTGATGTCCAAGCAGGAGATATGGGAAGGTCCTGGGAATAAACACTGGCTGATGATGCGTTCTCTCAAAGCCGAACAAAGCTCGCTTGACCTGGCCGTTTGTCAAGGAGAGAGATAGGCCAACGAAGGGAAACCTGCAGAGAGGAGCCTTCGGAGACTTGTCTCGCTTCCGATGAAAGACCTTGGTGAGTCTTATCGGGCCCGCCTCGGGCCACACGACATTGTACGGGCTTCGCCTCGTAGAGGGCGGAGGAGTGTGATCTTCTGCTGCCATTTCGCGCGTTCAGCATGCTGCTCGCCTCGCTCCTTTTCACAGAATAATATGTGTTGATTAAATGTTCTATTCTCACCCACTGCAGTGCTAAATCGTCGTCGTTTTACAGTATGCCAGCCAAGAAAATCAAGATCTGTTTCCTTGAGATCAGCAATGTGGGCGGATACATGGCCTCCGGGCAATGGAGGTGGGATGCAAATCACTTGATAGTCGCTACAACTCTCTGACATTTGTTCAACAGGCGCGAGGATGACACTTCTTTGGAGAAGGCTACGCTAAAGTACTACACAGATCTGGCGAAGCTTGCCGAGCGAGGCCAGGTCTCCTCCATATTCTTTGCAGACTGGTTCGTCGGCTTCGATGTCTACGGCGGCAGCCTTAACACCATGCTCCGTGCTGGCCACGAAGTAGCCCACCTGGATCCTTCAACCGCTATTTCTGCCATGGCTGCCGTGACGAAAAGTGTTGCGTTCGCCGTGACTCAGTCCACAACATATTCCAACCCTTATGTTCTGGCCCGACAGATGTCTTCGTTGGATCATCTTACTGGTGGTCGCTGTGCATGGAATGTTGTAACGAGCCATACGGCGAGCAGCGCCCATGCCATCGGTCACGACACCATTATGCCACACGACGAGCGCTATGCAAAAGCTGACGAGTTCATGGATGTTGTGTATAAGTAAGCCTATTACCTTACTTGAAAGTTGGCGCATTGCTCACAGTGTGCTTCAAGGTTGTGGGAATCATCCTGGGGCTCTGGGTCTGTCGTACTTGACAAGCAGAGTGGTCTTGCTTTCGACGCCGACAAGATTAAGAAGATCAATCACAAGGGGCAGTATTTCCAAATGACAGGACGACATCAAGTCCACCCCTCCCCCCAGCGAACCCCAGTGTTGTTTCAAGCTGGCACGTCAAAGATCGGATCCGCTTTCGCCAGCAAGCATGCTGAAGCCATATTCCTCAATACTTTCAGTCCGTCTCAAGCTGCAAAGGTGATGTCTGAGACGAGATCGGCCGCTGCTGCAATAGGCCGCGATCCCCACAGCATCAAGTTCTTTCCATGCATAATGCCCATAATTGGCAAGACGAAGGAAGACGCTGAAGAAAAGTACAAGAAGGCCGTCGAATACGCAGATCCCGTTGCAGGATTGGCGCAGTTCTGTGGCTATACTGGTATTGATTTGGCACCCTACCCGCTGGATGAGCCGATGGATTTGAGTAACATGTCGCAAGCAATGGCCATCCAGGCTGTCTTCAAAGCTCTGTCCGCTAGTCAGGAAGAGCTTGACCAGCCATGGACACCGAGAAGGTTGGGAATGAGAATGGCGCTTGGCGGCTTGCATCCATGTCCTGTGGGCACTCCTGAGGAGGTCGCCGACGTATTTGAGCAATGGGTGGCAGAAGCCGACCTAGATGGATTCAATATTGGCAGCGTCACGAATCCGAGCAGCTGGGAAGATGTCGTCGACCTGCTTATACCAGTCTTGCAGAGGAGAGGACTTTACTGGCTCGACTACGATGTGCCTGGCGGAACATTCAGAGAGAACCTATTGGGACAGAAAGAACTTCGAGAAGATCATTACGGATCATCTTTCAAGAGTCCATAGACCGCGATGGTGTGATTCAACACACGTTCAAACTTCAGTGTACACAGCTTCTAAAGACGATTGGCGGTGTTTCTGATAAAAGTCGCCCATGTCAGCAGCTCGTCCCTACATCTCCTGGTACATTTTTTGCTCATCCAATACTGCCGTTCCATCATTCCACAATGTAGTTAGCCCTCAGTTGGGTTTCTTGATTCCTGCGCACCAGTACATGGTGCCGAACGGCGGCAGCACAATTTCGCGCCCACTTCGCAGCTCCCAGCCGTGCTTTTGCTCCCATTCCTCGACGCTCAGTCCTGATGACCTTGTGAGGAGATCCCAAGTCTCGTCTGCGGTGCGGCCTCGGATACATGAAACAAGTCCGTCGAAGGCATTCATGATTGGGATCAGCGGGATAAGGTAGACGAAGATGAGGTGGAGTGGCGACCACCACCAGTCGTAAACAGTCGTGAAAAAAACCTGGAAGTTTATGAGGACGATGTTGAGCAAGGACGGAAATGTCCGGTGGGTCATCTCGAAGATACTGTTGCACAGGTTAGGTCACGAGGAAAGTTCACTTCGGTAATGATAACTTACAAGAATGCGTCGGAAGACTCAATCGCGGATAAAAGGACCCTCTCCGCAGCTGGGTCGTCGAAGTGATGGAAGCATAGGTTGTACATGCGGCATTCTTTGTTGTCCCCGCTAAGCCTAATGGCCTTGGTTGCATCGACGGGATATTCAAAGTATGAGATATTCTTGCTGTGCGAGGAAATCTCCCTCCACGCCTTTAAATCCGGCCACAGATCCGTAAGCTTGAACTGCACGCTGTTCAGGCCTACTGATCGTAGCCGTTCGTTCAAAATCGGCTCGATGACTGGGGTTGGCCCTCCGGCTCCGGCGCACGAATCGACGAAAGTGTACTCAGATGCTTTGGACAGGCCGCCCAGCTCCCGGACGAGAATTTGAGATGCTTGCAGAGCTGGTGAGCCCTTGCTCGACGTGGAAGCCTTCCAAAAGCGAGCCAGAAACTTGTGGGTATTTGTTCGAAAGACTTCCGGGCACCATGGTTGGTCCTCAATCTCCGCGAGGTGGAATCTGGGGAAGAGAACGTTGTAATCCATCTTGACGGAAAGCCGAACGCAAATCGAGCACGACTGCGAATTGGAATCAACAACGCTACAACGTCCCAAATATATGGAAGGTGTCTTCAAACAGCGCCTCGCGTATCTCTGCGATGGTGCCTCCGCCGGTAGCCTTGACTTTCACAATCGAAGCATTCGGGATCCGAAGTACGACTGAATGCGTTCCGGTATCACGCTGCCGAACATCATCTCATACTCCTTGCGGGTGCCGCCACAGCGCCGTGAAACCGTCCGATGCATACTGCCACGGCGGCCGAGACGCTGTAGCTGCCGAAAGAGGAAATTTCGCCGTTAAGCTTATTTCCAATCATATCGCTGGAGCTAGATCTCTTGTGAAATTGTTTGTCTGCCGTATGGCACAACATGGAGGCACATTTTGGTGGGAGACTCGCCGACAGCACAAAGTATCGGAAGGCGATACCCACACGACATGCTGTCGACTTACCGCGCAAGTCCAAGCGAGAGCACCAGACGTCCGGAAAGCAAGTGCACTACCATCGTTATTTGGCGCAAAGGGAAACGATACAGCGCGAGCGATGTGACACTTTCGTTTCAACAAATTCTCGCGCGACTAAGATGAATATCGTACTTTTGATGGTTTGAACAGCTCGATAGCAATGGGGATGGGTTTCCCGCTTTGGGCGGAAGATGGTGTCCAATGAACTCGTACGTATCTTTGCAAAGCTACGATGTAAAATCAAGATGCGGTCCTGAAGCACCTCAAGCCGCGTTCCAATTCTGCCTATATGCTGAACTTTGAAACACTCACGAGCGCCTCTCTGGCAAGATCACCTCCATATGTTTTGACACAGGAGCGAAGTGAAAGCTGTGAGACGGTCAGTAAAGGGCACCATTATACTTCGGATGGAGAGACTCTCACCGGTCGTCAACTTTCATACTCTGTGGAGTCACCGTGTCCGACAACGTGATGTCCGGCAGCTCTCTAAAGAAGGTGGCAGTGAACAGTCTGAGCTCGGTCATGACAAGATGTATCGCAATGCAGCCTCGAGCGCCGCTGGAGAATGGCTGGAAGACATCTGTCTGCAAGGCCTTGCTCTGTCCGGGCACCATCCACCGTCTCGGGTTGAAACTGAGGAGAAATTGGTCAGCGGCAAAGGCATAATGGTCATAGAAGTCACACCTACGCCTCTGGATCATTCCAGGCTTCTGGGTTACGGTGCAGCTGGTGGTTGTGCGATGCAACACAAGTGCCCGGTGGGACGACATACGGACCGAGCTCTTGGGGCGTTGGTGCGTATCGAGGGAGAATAGACAGACCTCCACCGAACAATCGCAAAGACTCATAGATGGTGCCGTCGAGAAGTGGGCACTTTCCTTCGACATCAGCATCTGTAAAGGGCTCCTGTAGGGCTTTTGTCTCAGCCTCAAGCTCCTGTCGAAGCTTGGTGTTTTGCAGGACGATGTAGAGCAGGTATACCAGCGTCGCGCCGATCGGCTCGCCGCCAGCCCCAAGGAATGTGGTGATATCTCTGGTTATGTCGTACGCCGACATCTTCAAACCACCCTCAAGCTGGTATTTGCCCTCTTTGTCGTCAAACTGGGCGCCCTGCACAAAGGTGGTCTTGGAAGCGATGCTCCTCTGCCTCTCCGTCTGCTCCCAAAGGTCCTTGTAGTGCTTATACCTCTTCTCCGTGGCAAAGGTGTTGCCGAGCCAAGGAACCACATGGGCGAGCCAGCGAGCAACGAGAAAGGTTGGGAATGAGAACAGCATCCACGCATTTTGGAACTGCAGATAACAGCCCATCATGACTTCCTCGATGCCCTTGCGTTGAGCCATCAGTCCATTCGTGGAGGCATCGCCAAAGACTACCTCCGAAGCAACGTCGTATCCAAACAACATGCACCATTTGTACATATCAGCAGCGCGGGTAGGGTTGTTCGAAGCATCTTCGCGAACCCCGTCGATGAAATGCTGGCAGAGCGTTCTGACAGCAGGCAGATGGCTGGCTTTGATCTTTTCGTTCGAGAAGGCGTTGACGTAGAATCGTTGACGACCGCGATGGAGCCTGGGATCAGAAACGCTGAAAATGTTGAATGCAGTCCCCGGCTGGAGCTGCTTGCGGAAAGCTGTGCCTAGGCCGTGGACTTTCTTGACGGCGGCGGGATCAGAGATAGCAATCTCCTCCGGGCCTGTCCGCACGTAGGGTCCATACCTCTTATGAAGGTCAGTGAGCCAGTAGAATCGATCCCCAACAACGTCATGATATCTCAAGGCAACGTCGGTAAACTTGGCATGCCATGGTCCTGGGACATGACGGAGCGAGGAGCCATATGCCCTTCGAAGTCTCTGTACGTCGTTGTTAGCTGTCATTAGGGGTGCACAGTCTGACGGCGTTGACACACCTGCACGACAAAGCGAACAGAGAGGACTGCGAATATTGCGAGGCCAATGGTGACAGGCACTGACACCACAACGAAACTCGGCGCCTGCTGGGACGAGGCCTCAACAAACGACATTGACCTGGGTGTATCCATTGTAAAATGAGGACCTCACAGTATGTGGCGTGCAATTGATATTCCTGGCCTATATATTCGAGGCTAGCTTCGTCTCGGAGCCCGGGATGTCACATGCCGCAGGATCCATCCATTTAGGGCTATGCGGACGATTCTTACGGGAGTGATAGCTTAGTATCAGGCGGAGGATACAACATACCGAATCGATCATAGCCTGAACTGAAGCATTACGTCGACACTAACGCCGGCGTCCGAAGGCTTGCTCTCGGCTATATAGCTGACCGTGCAGCCTTGTGCCGGTGATGTGATGAGACGTACATATACACGGTTCCTGCAGTTACCATAAGCTCTGCAAGCGCAGAAATGCCCCTTCGCTGCATCAACCAAACTTCTTTGTATAAAGCCAAGTCATTTTCTATCTCTTCAACACATTAAATTGTTGCCTCAAAAGCCTTCCCGAGCATTTTGTCGCCACCATGGCAGCCGAGACGGCAGAGATTGCCGCACCTGTTTATGGCAAGGATGCCGTTGCCATCGTAGGTATGGCGGGCCGATTTCCTGGAGCTGAGAACTTGGATGAGTATTGGGATTTGCTTACCGCGGGCAAGTCGATGCTGTCAGAAGCCCCTGAAGCTAGATTTGGAAGCAGCGCAAGGACGAAGAAAGGCCAGATGTTCTGGGGAAACTTCCTGAAAGCTGTCGAGGACTTTGATCATTCCTTCTTCAAGCGCTCACCGCGAGAAGCCGCTTCCATGGACCCCCAGCAACGCCTTCTCCTTGAGCTGGCTTACGAGGCACTAGAGAGCTTCGGATACTTTGCTGGCTCATCGCGAGCCCAGGATATTGGCGTGTATATTGGAGCGTGTTGCACCGACTACGACTTCAACGTCGCTTCGCACCCGCCAAATGCATACTCAGCTACCGGAACACTGCGTTCGTTCCTGAGTGGCAAGATTTCTCACTACTTCGGATGGCATGGCCCCTCTCTGGTCATCGACACCGCTTGTTCCTCGTCCGCCGTCGCCATTCAATCCGCCTGCACTGCTCTTCGGACAGGACAATGTTCTCACGCTGTGGCTGGAGGAGTCAATTTGATGACCAGCCCATACCTTTTCGAGAACTTCGCAGCGGCTCGATTCTTGACTCCCACAGGAGCATCAAAGGCTTTCAGCGCCGATGCTGACGGCTACTGCAGAGGCGAAGGAGGCGGCTTGGTTGTCCTCAAGCCCATGGCAGACGCACTTCGAGATGAGGACAACATTCTCGGCATCATCGGCGGCATTGCTGTGAACCAGAACGACAATTGTGTGCCAATCACCGTCCCGCACACATCATCACAAGGCAACCTGTACGAGCAGGTGTGCAGACAAGCCGGGGTGACTCCCCGGGACGTTACGTTTGTCGAAGCGCACGGAACGGGAACGCCCCTTGGGGTACGTATCGATATCGCTGAGGCCTTGATCATATCTGTCATGCAAAGCTAACGAATTTTAGGATCCTATCGAGATGGAAAGTATTCGCCGAGTCTTTGGAGGCCCGAGTCGAGACTCTCCTTTGATCGTCAGCTCGACCAAAGGCAACATTGGCCATCTTGAAGGAGCTTCGGGAGTGGTTGCACTGATCAAGAGTATTCTCCAGATGGAACACCGGATGGCAGCTCGTCAAGCATCGTTCAAGCAATTGAACCCCAAGATCCCAGCCCTGGAGCCGGACAACCTCTGCATCCCGACTTCCAACACGCCGTTGGCTGGCGACAAGCTGGTTGCCTGCGTGAACAACTACGGTGCAGCAGGTAGTAATGCGGCCATGATCGTCATTGAGCCTCCACGCAAGACCACACCTTCGAGGTCAGCGGACAGCGATAATGCGCTGCGTGACAAGTTCCCTATCCGCTTGACGGCAGCTACAAGCGACAGCCTGCTCGCATACTGTTCGTCGCTAGACCGACTTTGCGATCAACTCCGTACGCTGGAATCGGAGAAGAACGTTGATGCCCTACCCAATCTCGCCTACAGCCTCAGCAAGCGTCACAACCCGGATCTCGCCCAGTCGTTGACATTCGCCGCATCCAATTTGAACGAGCTCCAACAGCAACTTCGCCAGCAAATTCGCGAGAGCAACAGCATCAAACCCAAACAGGAGGGAAGACCAGTGGTACTATGCTTCGGTGGCCAGGTATCCAACAAGGTGGGCTTGGACAAGCAATTGTACGATCAGTGCTTGCTGCTGCGTTTCCATCTTGACGCCTGCAACTCGGCCATCACAAGTCAAGGCTACCCATCAATCTATCCAGCCATCTTCGAGAAGACCCCTATTGTCGACACGGTCACGCTTCATGCATCTCTATTCGCTACACAGTACGCCTCGGCGCAGGCTTGGGTCGAGTCCGGGCTTCAAGTGGACACAGTCCTCGGACACAGCTTCGGCCAGCTCACAGCGCTCTGCGTGTGTGGCATGCTTTCACTGCAGGACGGCGTGAAGTTGGTCGTTGGACGAGCGGCTCTGATGGAGCAGCACTGGGCCGCCGAGCCGGGAACCATGATCTTGACCCAGGCTAACGAACAAAGCGTCGAACAGCTCCGCACGAAGGGCCACGAGTTCGAGGTTGCTTGCTACAATGGCCCTGCAGCACATGTCTTGGTCAGCGATGCGGCGTCTGCGGAGAAGATTGTGGCAGACCTGAAGCAGCAGTCCATCAAGCACAAACTACTGAATGTGCCCTACGGCTTCCATTCTCGCTTTACGGAACCTTTGTTGCCACATCTCGAGAAGCTTATTTCCAGCCTGACGTTTCATGAGCCAAAAATACCCATCGAGACTTGTACTGAGAGCGAGACTTGGCCAGAGCCGTCTGTAGAGCGTGTGATCGCTAACACCAGAGGCCCAGTCTACTTTGCCCCTGCAGTCGAGCGTCTACAGCATAAGTTCGGTGCTTGTACGTGGGTGGAAGCTGGCACGGGATCGGGCATCACCAACATGGTCAAGGGAGCGTTGGGCTCGTATGCCGCCAACAGTACCTTCGTGCCCCTGTCTCTCGACAAGCCGAACTCGAGTGCCGCACTGGCCGACACCACAATTTCCCTCTGGAATGCAGGCCAGTCGTTGCGATTCTGGCGATTCTGCTGCCTTCAAAGCAGCCTGTACAGCCATCTTCGTCTGCCACCATATGCGTGGCAAAGGACGAGACACTGGTTGCCCCTGGACATGGATGCAGCAGTACCTGCGTCAGCACAGCCGACATTTGAGGCGCCGAAGAGTCTACCGGCAGCAGAGCTTTCTCCGGTCCTCATGCGGCTCATGTCCAGCGGTGCCGACGGTCATCGCTTCAGCATCAATCCAAAGAGCGAAGAGTACCGTGACATCGTTGACGGCGTGAGAGTATCTGGTAGAGCGACAGCACCGACCTCTTTGTACGTCGAACTCATCTCTCGAGCCATTGGACTCGCGACCAATACCAGACTCGACTCGCCGCTGGCACTCGAGCGCTTGCAAACTACTCCTGGCTTCCAGAATGTGACTTCAATGGAGCTCAAGCAGGAAAGCGTCTGGTGGAGTTTCAAAATGCTGTCGGGCGAGAGAATCAGTGCGCAAGGCTACGTCCAGCAACAGGCTGCCATTTGGTCTCTGCAGGACGACTTCGAAAGATACGAACGTCTCCTTCCTCACGAACAAATCTCCTCCCTCTTCGAGGAACCCCAAGCTCAGTCGGTTCGTGGTAACGTCATGTACAAGCTCCTTTCTAACTCCGTCAGCTACCCGGCCTGGTATCAGGGAGTCTCAGGCGTTGCTACGCTCGGCCCCAGGACGGCGGCGAAGATCACTCGCCCGCTGCAGGCTGCTCCATACACTGTAGTCAAGGAGAGTCAAGTCGAGCATGCTGTCTTGGAAAGCGTCCTACAGGTCATCTACTTGCATGCAAACTGCCTTCATGAAGGGGTCGATGGCTTGGCCTACAGCTTGAGCGGCATTCAGCGTCTGCAAGTCGCACCACACTTGCAAGGTGCCATGTTCCATGGCGAGCAGTCATGGAGTATGCTAGGAGTTAGCTCCAGCAGTGACAGTGGCATCTCATATGATGTCTTCGTCTACAACGAGCAGACTGGAAAGCTCTCTCTCGTACTTCTAGGCGCTCGACTGGGCAGTGGGAAACGAGTCGAGGCTCCAGTCAAGCATGTTCTCACTGCAGCACCCGTGGCAACTACACCAGCACCTACACCCGCGAAGACCGAAACACCACCAGCCACCAAAGCCCCAGAGCCACCGGTCGAGAAAGCCGCACCATTAACACTAGCGGGTAACGATGCAAAGACGAGCATCTTCGAGGACATCTGCGGACTGCTGGCTCAGCTGGCAGATATTCCGGCGGACAAGATTCCCAAGAATGCGTCCTTCGACGACTTGGGAGTCGATTCTCTCATGGTGGGTCCCGTTGCATCATCCTTTTCAATTTCACTTGCTAACTGTATTCAGGTTATCGAGGTGATCAGTGAACTGCAATCCATGTTCAAGACGGAAATGCCAATTGACGAGCTTCAAGAGCTGACCGATCTGAACTCACTGGTCAACTACCTCAACAGCAAGGGCGCAGTCGGCAGCTCCTATGTCGAGGGAGCTGCGGGATCTTCATCCACAGTTTCTGACTCTGACACCGACATTTCGACGCCCACTATGAGCACTGCTCCAAGCACACCCCCCGAACCACAAGATGTCGAAACCACCAAGGAACAGCAGAGCGTCCCATCACTCCAAGCAAAAGACGAAGTGCTAGACTTGGGATCCCACGGTATCCAAAATGCCTTCTCTCGTGTTCGTCAGAACTTCGAACGTTACTCGGCGAAGAGTGGCGCCAAGGGCTACTGGTCTAAGGTTTACCCTGACCAGAACGAGGTAGTGACGGGCTATGTCTGCGATGCCTATCGCAAGCTAGGCGTCGATCTGTCGAAGATCAAGGCGGGGCAGCCTGTTCCAGAGCTGTCCAAAGCCTTGCCAAAGCACAAGCCTCTTCTCGCTCAACTGCGTAATCTCCTCGCAGACTCCGGATTGCTCGAACTGTCCGGACTGGGAGAAGTCCAGCAGCTTGTTCGTACGTCCAAACCAGTCAACTCGACGCCATCGGACACCCTCTACCAACAACTTCTGCCAAAATATCCCGACTTCATTCCAGATAACAAGTGCTTGCAAGTTACCGGCCCTATGCTGGCAGAGTGCTTGACAGGAGAGAAAGATCCTCTCCGCCTTCTCTTCGGCGATGCAAAGAACAAAGAGATTTTGGCAGACTTCTACGCCAAGTCACCCATGATGGATACTACCTGCCGCATGATGGCCGAGTTCGTGTCTTCGCTGCCGTCAGTCGCTAAGAACCAAGGTCCACTTCGTATTCTGGAAGTTGGGGCAGGGACTGGAGGGTCGACCAAGCTCCTGGTCAGCTACTTGAAGCGCCTGGGCGTGCAATTTGAGTACACCTTCACCGACATCTCGCAGTCGCTGGTCAATATGGCCAAGAGAACGTTCAAGGACGAGGCGAACATGCACTTCAGAGCCTTCAACGCAGACGCCGCCCCTCCAGAGGACTTCGTCAACAACTTCCACCTAGTTTTGTCCACGAACTGCATTCATGCCACCAGCAGCATCGAGAGGACCACGGCCAACATCTTGCCAGTCATCAGGAACGACGGTGCTCTGTGTGTATCAGAGTTCACCAGAAACCTCTACTGGTTTGATCTTGTTTTCGGTCTCCTCGAGGGCTGGTGGCTCATGGACGACGGCAGAACACATGCCATGGCCCCTGAGTCGTTCTGGGATCAAAGCCTGCGAGCTGCTGGGTACAACAACGTCTCCTGGTCTACGGGAGAGAGTGAAGAGGCTGATACTGTACGACTCATTTGCGGTTTCAAGAATGAGGGACCTGTCGACGGCGCCGTCGCTAGTATCTCGAAGCCTCAGGGCAAGCTCAGCAAGCGAGCAGGAATCCCCGTGGAAGAGCTCGTCTTCAAGTCCGTCGACGATCTTGACCTCTCCGTCGATGTCTACTTCCCCAAGCAAGCTGATCCGCCAGGCAAGAAGCGAGCAGTCGGTACGTATCGTGAAAGTACCCCCTACCATTCGTCAAGATCTGATCGAACCTTCTACAGCTCTGCTCATGCACGGTGGAGGTCACTTCCTCTTTGGTCGTAAGGATGTACCCATGAAGCACATTAGGATGCTTCTCGAACGGGGCTTCCTTCCGGTGAGCACCGATTACAGACTTGTCCCAGAGACCACGCTTTTCGAAGGCCCCATGACGGATTGCTGCGACGCATTGCAGTGGTGCAGAGAGACATTGCCAACGATGGCTTTGTCAGGACCACGAGTCCAGGTCAATGCGGCCACCATCCTTTCCATTGGATGGAGCAGTGGTGGCCAGCTCGCCATGAGTTTGGGCTATACTGCTCCACAACGGGGCATCAAGCCACCAGAAGCTGTATTTGGACTTTATCCACCGACTGACTTCGAGTCTGAACGTAGGCTATACCTTTACCTGCAGAGTTTGGTATATGCTGACAGAGAACGACCAGACTGGCACAAGCCTTGCTATCCCTTTGCGGCCGAAGAGGAACCACAAGAGATTATCGACATCTTGGCTGGAGTTCAGGAGCGTCCAGTAAGTTGCGGCAACTACATACAAGAAAGTCCTTTTGTTGACCGACCTTTGCAGATCCTTGAATATGCGCCCTTCAGCGACAAGAAGACCATGGCTCTGTCTCTGACCCTCAAAGACCCGCGAGCCAAGATCATTTTGCACACCTGTTGGAACTCCCAGACACTGCCAATCCTCGTCAACGGCCTCCCACTCAAGAGTTCTGTGGCCAACCCAGATGCCGAAGAGCACATGTACCCACCAGCCGCTACTCCTGAGCAAGTCCATGAGATCAATACGCTCGGCCACATCAGAGACGGTAGCTACCGAACCCCTACATTCATTGTGCACGGTAACGGCGACGACTGGCTGCCACATACTATGAGCGAGCGAACGATCCAGGAGCTCAAGAACCGTGGCATCCCAGCTGGTCTCACTATCCCAGAGAAGTGCAGCCACGCCTTCGATCTTTTCCCTGTTGGCGATCCGCTGTCGACGGGCTGGGCTGCGATCGAGCAAGGATATGACTTCATTTGTGACTTGCTCCAAAATTGAGGTTTAGAGAAGTGATGCATTTACTAGATGGCGTTTTTAAATAGTATAATTCTTTCATCACACGTAATCAACGTTCTACCAATACATGTCTCTTATTTAGGCATTCGACCTAGCTGGAGTACGTTCACGCCTGACTTTTATGGACCTCGTGCTTACTTGTGTAGACCCTAAGTGGTGATCAAAGTAGACATGTGTAAGTCAAGGCTTGTTAGGCTTTTATCGTAGGCTCTTGAAACGTGCAACAGCATCGAATGACTGAGTATTGTTGCCGCCAAAACTGCGCACTATTCACCCCGAGGTGGCTTGTTCATGGAGAAACCTACATTCTTTCTATCAATATCTTCTCCAACAAAGTACTAACAACCTCATGCACACACATACACACAAGAGTCGGCATGCCGTGGTGATGCCTCGACCGACGGAGGTGCAAGTTAATGTTGGCGGAAGTCAACGAGTTTGGGGGCACATGGACATTATCCGATGAGTCCGCATCGCACCCTAGGCGTCAGCGTCACTCATCGGAGTTTCAAGCAAGCCATGGAATACGTGACTCGGAGCTTTGACAGAACGACCAGAGCCCGGTAGATGTGCTGCTACTGTGAGCTCTTTCACAAAACCGAAAAGCGGCATCAAGCTTCGGCTGCCTCGTTTCAGGACTTGTGACACAGAATCAAATATACATCGATCGAGGCCCTGTCACTTTGCATCGAGATCGTTTCATTCAGGATGGAAGAGAAAACAAGGGCGTGGCCGTGGCTTATGATTTCTGCAGTACGTCTGTTCCATCTCAGCCAAGACGTTGACCCCTAATCGTTGTCTTGGAGGTGACAACATAACTTAAATACCTGTCCGAATGCTAGATGCCATCGCAGCTCCAACTCTTCTGGTTGGCGAGTCGAGGCAAGAGCCGCCAACCTTGGAACTCGAGGGATAGATCGCCGAACTTGCACGCAAACAAGCTGGCCTTTCCGTCGTGAGCGGAACAGTGGGTAATCACCTCAGTATCAGATCACTCCTCCAGAACGCACCACACATATTCTATGCGATGAGTGTAATGAACTACGCAGCTGGTGGCCTGGCGAATCTGTTAGGGGCGTTGACTCTCCCAATCCGTCCAGTCAACGGCAAATGTCTGACGCTTGAGCAAGTTCAGAAAGTAGCGATTGTCTCTCTTCACGATCACTGTGCTTACCCTGCCAGGCTGGTATGCGTTGAGAATACGTTAGCCGGGACCATTCTTCCCCTTGCCGAATTTCGGTCGCAGGATATGAGATTGGATTCATCAGCACGATGTGAGGCTGCCTTTGGACTTCGAAAGCGTTAGCCTGTGCTTCTCCAAGGGTCTGGGTGCCCCGATTGGACTGCTCATCGTGTGCAGAACAACCTTTCGGGAGCGTACGAGGAGGACTAGAAAGAGCATGGTAGAGGTATGCGTGAGGCTGGCGTTGTCAGCGCAGCTGCTCAAAGGGCAGTTGAGCCTACGTTCTTTGGCGGCCGTCTTCATTAGTCTCATGAAGGCTCACGACAAGGCGAGGTGGATCGCGAATCTAGGAGAAGGCTATGGTGAGAAACCGCGCTACCCGACCGAGACTAATCTGATGTGGCTTGGTATGGTCGCTTCAGGAGCGACAATGCAATCTTTTCGGGAGCAAGGCGAAGCACATGGGCAGCAGGCTTGTGGTCCCTTACCAGATCACGGATGAGGCCGTGCAGCGGCTCGACGGCACGATGAAGGAGTTGCTGCAGGGCCCCGAGGCGCAAACTGCGGTGCCAAAGTAGTCGTGACTCCTGGAGCAACGCCGCATCCAGAGCCTAAGCCTAAGCACTTGGTCGAGATTGATAGGTTTTGAGTGGTTCGTGCGGATTTATGTGCGGACCCATATGCTGTTGGGCCGACTCAGGTCATACCAGATGAGGAAGAGCTTGTTCGGGTGCATATTGAGGGCGCAACGCATACAAGCGACATGGCAGGACGAGTAGCCCGGACAGACTTGTGGGACAGAAGTAAGCATCTGAGAGAGGCGTCGAGGCTTCGTGGGCGCGGTATCTGCAGCCTCGTACTGCTCTCCCATACTGATCGCCGGGAAGCATGCACAACAGAACGCTTTCATGCAGCACGGTGACAAAATGTGTGTAGGTCGGTTCGAACTTTGCGAAATGCTATTCCTTGCTGCAAAGTCCCGGGTACAAACGATCTTTTGCAACTGAGATATTCTTCACTTACTCTCAAGAAGCCTTGAGCGCTACTACTGCTTCAACAGTGAGCGTTCGGGATGTACTTTGGATGTGAACGAGCCACGAATGTTGGTACCGACCGGCCAGACCTCAAGCGTTGCTGAAGAGCTGTTTCGTCACAGCAAAGGCGAGCCCTTCTGTTCGAATACGTTCTGGCCAGGCCATATTCGGACGGTGCCACAAGTTCTACCCTTGTCATGATTTGAGGAACGAGATCGGGCCACGAATGGACTTGTTCTGCTGGCCTCTTCCCGGCGTGAACACCATCCTCAAAGGACGCATTACAATCGAGCGTCCGAGTATTGACGTAAAGACTTGCATGGGATGCACCGAAATGAAGGCCCCCTCGCATCCAGACGAGTCACTGACTCGGTATTGCGTCTCTGCTTCTACGGCGAAATAGCGTGTTGAGATACAATTCGCCGTTGGCTGGGGGCCTCTTACAACCGGAACGGGCGGTCTCGCAGCCTGGCCGTCTCCGAAATCCTTCCTCGGCGATCCGAATGATGCTCCGTTGTCCGCCGACGGCCGAATGTTTGGAGCGATCTCTTGTTGATTGTTTCCTTTTGATATACATCGAGTATCTGTCCGCACCCACAGTCGTTGCCACCACCGCCCGACTGAAGTCGTGCAATACTGTGTCAGCTTTCGAAAAGGAGCATTTTTGTCGACATCAAAACCGCAGCGAAGCGACAGGAACTCCATTCAATCAAGCCACCAAAATGGCAGAACTCGGCATGTCGCCAAACCAACAGGACCATGGTGTACGTACCTGTATTCGAGACTCGACCGAGTTGCATGCTGACACACAGCGTACAGCCTCCCTACGTACCCATGAATGCGACGCCGGGCCAACATCCCAACGTTAGACAAGATGTTGCAGCAAGCGCCGTATTCTTGTTCCTCTACATCGTCTCCGCCGTCTGTCACCAAGCCACCTTCCAGACAAACCGCAGGAAAGGCCACAAGTTCCTCATGTCCTGGGCAATGTTTGGTTTCGCAATGGCAAGATTTGGAACGTTGATCTTCAGAATCGCGTGGGCTTGCAGACCGTACAACGGCAGTGTTGCGCTGACCGCGACTATCTTCGTCTTCCTTGGAGTGCTCGTCATCTACTGCGTGGTCCTTCTCCTCTCCGTACGGACCCTGAGGGCTCGTCAACCCACTTTCGGATGGAACCCATGGCTGGACAACTTCATCAAGGCGAATTACTGGGCTCTGCTGGTGGTGGTGCTCGTCGTCATTCCCTTTGGAATCCTTTCTGGCTATACCAAGGACGAGGAATTGCTGAACGCTTGCGCCTGGATCGAGAAGGTCGGTGTTCTCTACTTCTTCCTGCTGAACTTGATCGCGCCAGTCCTCTACTTTCTCGCCTTATTCATGCCACGCCCCAAGGACGTCCCACCCGAAAATTTTGGTACTGGCAGCATGCGGGCGAAGCTCATTATCCTCGGGGTGGTGCTATTTTTCACCGTTTTCATCTCCGGGTTCCGCTTTGGAGTCGCCTGGTCGCCGTACCGACCTCTCTCGGACCCTGCTTGGTATGATAGTAGGGCTGCCTTCTACATCATCGAACTGGGCTTCGAGTTGGTCATCACCTTCACTCTGATCTTCACACGATTCGACCGCCGCTTCTGGATACCGAACGGCAGTAAGCAGCCCGGCGACTACTCTCGCATCGATCCCGATGGCAAAGAACACGCGCAGATCCATCTCCAGCACCAGCAGGAGAAGTCAGGAGCCCAAGCAGAGGAAACGTCTTAATGCTCTCTGTTCCTAGTTGGAAACTCTCACACGTATTGCCGATGATGTGTTTCCAAGGTCACTGTAGAATAGAAAGACAGGATTGTGCGCAATACAATAAATTAGGTCGCAACATCTCTGCACGATCATGGGCGCGACAACGGGCAGTGCGAATAGGCTGCGGTAGCAGAATCGTATTTTTGATTTCATCTGTGGATGCTCGGTAACTTACGTTACTTATCCTGTGCCCACATTGCCAGTGCACTATAAGGTGTGACGGGGCCGCAGAAGATTGAACCCTCACTTCACCTCGTCGAACGACTTGATAGTGCCTCCTCGTCGCCGACTCCGATGCTTTGCCATCATAAAAAGGTCAGTCCGCTTCGCCACTACTAACAACGACATCGAGAGATGCATGGCGCAAAGGCTTCATCATACCTCTAGTGTCAGGCGGCCCCTTGCAACATACCGGTGATGGTTGCGACGACGGCCTTGAGTTGACCTCGAAGGTCGTTCCCGAGATGATCGAGCATGGTAGGGGAAAACGACACCGTACTGGCTTGGCCGAGTCCTTCGCCATTGAGACCGGCAGATGCAGAACGGCGCATCCAGTCCGGGCTACTGCTACGGCTCCCACGCTCATTCAGTCGCGCCGCCAACTCGTTGACCAGCTTCAAGGCTCGATGCAACTCTCCCAGTACCAACTGACCGGCTGCACGGCAACTGTCCTCGCCGTGGATTTGGGCCAGTGCCATGCTTGACGGAGGGTGGCGCTTCTGCCCAAAGGCTGACGAGGTACGAGGACTCTGTGGTGGCGATCCACATTGAGACAATGGAGCCACTCTGGCAGCCCGTCCATACCGCCCAAGGACTTTGGAGACGACGAAGGCAAGGATGATGAGGACTTGCGAGTCGTGAGCGCAGCTGCGTTGGAGCATGTTGTCAACCGCGGTAGCGACGCTTCGATTCTCAAAGATGAGGGTTTCTGTGGGCGTACGGGCTTGCTTGAGCGATGACGAGCCATAGTCAGGCGAACTGTCTGATTTACCAAGAAGGTCCAGAGCGGTGGCAAGGCAGTCACAGTCGCTGGTGGAGTGCTGTAGCGCGGAGTCGATGGGGCTAGTTACCATGCTCGAGAAGACGCTGTCGTCCGTGGACAGCACAGGATCTGGAAGAAGAGAGCACTTGTCCCGCCCAGGGATGGTGATGAAGCTGGCGAAGAAGTCGTCCAGTTCCCGTGGACTCCATTCTGGAAGGGCGTCACACGATAACGATAACGAGGAGGATGGAGACGAGGTTGATAAAGAGTCGACCCAGGAGTTTCGGTGCTCTGGTGCAGGAGGAACTGGTTCGCTGAAGGTAGTGTCGAGCTTTGGAAAGATAGGAAAGCAGCTCTGACCTGGAAGGCCTTCCAAGTTGGTCGAAGCTTGGGAAGCTTGAGAAGTTGAATTGCGACCACCGTCGTGGGCTCGAGTGATGGAGTTGGCGCCACCATTGACTGCTTTGTTTGGAGGCCTGCCGGATCTCCTGGTGGCAAAGTAGACGCACGGCAGATCCCTTTCACTGCAACGGGTACAGGTTGGCTTGTCTTTGGAGCATCGAACCTGTTCATGCTGCTCAGCAACGATACGAGGTGGCCACCGAGGCTTGCTGGCCATTCACCTTTGCAGCAGAGCAGGGCTCGCAGCTTTCTCTGAGTCTTGGAGGTGCGTTCCTCCTGGAGCCTTGCGAAGTCCGAGGGTGTGGGGAGGGGGCGCTCTGGAGGTGGTCGGCCATTGTCCTACGAAGGAGATTCAATCTGCTGCCCGGTGATGCTCTCGGCAGGGTTCTGGACGAGGTCGGAGTCAAAAGAGGGTGCGAAGTGCGAATGGAGCCTGAACGTGTGGTACAAGGCACGCACCCACCAACCTACCCCATGGCCGCGACGCATCTTATAACATCTCTGCAACGAGCAAGAGGAATCACGACAAACACGTTGATCCCGGCGCTTGGATCTCAACCGCAGATTGCGCACCAAGCTCGATTTCCTACTATGCTATAAGCGAATTCCTGACCAGCTCGATTGGCAGCTAGGTAGAACCCGCGGTGGGGGCATCGTTGGTGCACGAGCGAGTCACGTCCCGCCGTTGAAGTGCGCCGTGGGTGGTTGGCTGTGACCTGCTACCAGCGGTGATCGCCTCTGCAGGTGGCGTACACCGTCGCTGGTGTTGAGTGCTTGGAGCCAGAGCTGCAGGCGTGCAGAGCTGCAGGCGACTGCTGGGAGCTTGGACGAGTCGCAGACCACGACTTGGATCCACTCGTCGCAGCGCTGATAGCTGCATTGTGTCTGTAGGGAAGGAGACGGGAGACCAGCAGTACCAAGGCTATTGTGCTGGTCGTCACGCTCACTTCTCCCCACGGAGGAAGGAGCCGTGATGATGTCGGAAGAAGGTCGCTCCCTCCCGCACGCCAGGCTGTCCCGTTCCCGTATACGCATGCAGTGTACAAGGCAGTTCGAGGAAATAAGCAGGTGGGCTTCGGCTGGCGGGATGGCATGTGTGGGTTGGGCTTGGTGCACAGACCATCTTCGCTCGTGCGGCCGATAGGGTCAAGCCCAACCGTAGCGTACCAGCAGCAAAGATCCAGATTCGGACTAAAACAAACTCTGCATCGCCGATAGGCTGTGGCTGAGACTAGCGTCAAGCCACTGATACAAGGCTGCGTCGCTAGGGGCAAACCCCTGTCTTCGGGAGCCGTGACTGCTGCATTGTGCCGAAGTCCCCGTTGCCTCCAACACAAACGTTGTTGCTCCTCGCCCTCCTCAGCTGCTGGTTGCGAGCTCATATTGGTCGAGAGTCGAAACTAGCGAAAGGCCAAGCCGCCAGGCAAGGGATCGATAGGCACTGGGCTGTCGTGCAACTACCAAGGCGGTCAAACTATTAGACCAGGGCAGAAATAAGTGAGAGGGTTGCTGCGAGCAGAGCATCTGCTGTTGGATGAGCAATTCGGGCTTTGTGAGCACGTTGGTTGTTGGCAGGATCTTGTTTGGTGCGCTTATAAGTGTACTCCGTCCGGAAATCAGAGCCAGCCGCTTTGACACTTTTCCTCACCCAGATGAGTACATTGTCGACGTCTGCACCCGCCAATCACCGATCTGAGTGCCTCCCCTGGCACCGACACTTTGCCGGCGATAGCAATGGCAGCCCGCTGGGCGGAGCTCGACTCATGTCTGGCAGAACTGATGGCAGCGGCGACAACCATGCGCCAGCTACGTCAAACACACCATGACAGCAACGAACTCGATGCCAGCAGTGAGACAAAGACCTCTCTACTGTCCCCAGACGATCCCCTGGAAGCCCACTGCGCCCGCAACGCCGTCGTGGCCAAGCTGGCCAAGCTTCAGACGCTGGTCGCTGATCCGTCCGATCTGCTCTCACAGCTGGCGATGCAGGTTAGTCTCTTCCTTTCGCTTGAACGCTTGGCACCAACAACAAGCTAAACGTAGCGTGCTTGCAGAATCAGATTCTCGGCTGCCTGCATTGGCTTGGAGAGTTTCAGATCTTGGCATTCATCCCACGTCTAGGCAGCATTGCTCTTCAGGACGTTGCCGAGCTGGCTAGCGTCCCCGAGCCTCAGCTGCGCCGTATTGTGCGCATGATGGCGGCCGTTGCCTTTCTGCGCGAGCCTCGTGTTGGCCAGGTTGAGCACACAGCGCTCTCTGCGCCCTTTGGCGATCGACCATCATACCACGATGCGTTGAGGTTCCTTACGAACACGGCAGCTCCAGCAGCGATGCAAATGGTGCCTCTGACCCAACGCATGCGCCAGCAGCAGCTTCTACACGGAGCCGCATTCAACGATCTTCCCCTGGCTACTGGACTCGAGCATCAGGCTGCCCCTCGGCGCCAGTGGCCTTCGTACGTACGATATGCGCTGGGGGATCAGGACTCCAGCATCGAGAGCATACTGAAATCCTTTGACTGGACAAGCCTCGGCGCAGCTACTGTTGTTGACGTAAGTTGGGCGGAAGCCTGAGGCTGTACTGAGAGCTGCCGTAAGTGAAGTCGCTGACGGCGTTCTCGCTGACCGCGCCTTACAGGTAGGGGCCCGCTCCACCACTATGGCATGCACACTAGCAGAGTGCCATCCATCTTTGAACCTTGTGGTTCAGATGAACGTACCCCCAGAAGTCGCTAGCCCAGACGCCGTGAGGAATGTGAGAGTCGCCGTCCAAACCAGGACATGGGCCATGCCGCAGACGGTGCGACATGCGGCTGTCTACGCCCTCCGCGTCCCCTACGACTTTCCAACTGTCTTTGCACAGTCCAGGCCAGCTAGACTGAGGGCCGAACTGGAAGCCCACCTCGGTGTTCTGAGGGAGAATAGCGCGGCGAGGCTGATCGTCACCGCACGACTACTTCCACGCTCCTCGGACATAACAGACGACCTAGATAGCGACGATGGCGTTGTGAAAATCGACGGGGAGGCTGTCAAGGCCCACGTGTTCGACATGTCTCTGCTGCAACTGGCCAATGACCGAGAGCTCGAGGTGGCGGACCTAAAGGAGCTGGTGAGCAGCGTGGGAGACGGCAGTGGGCATCTGGTGTTGGGAGAGCAGCTGTGCGCGGCGGCGAAAACACCAACGCCAGCATCAGTGGCAACAGCAGCGGCAGGGATGCGGACGGAGTCTCCTTACACGGCGAGGGATCGAGCCTTCGAGGTTCGCTATCAGCGGGGCCGGCTTCCTATATGAGCAAAGACAACGAGAACGAATAATCCTCATTCCTTGGGGATGCGCGTCTGCCTGCTTACTGTGAGCATGATTATTTCAGCTACAGCGACACAACAGTCATGGTGCATGGGGTTCGTTGTCGGTTAGTGGCCACGCGGGATATCAAGCTCCACTATTCCCATGCACAACGACAACTGCCAGCATCGCACGCCTGTTTGCTTGCTTGCGTACAGCACCAACCAGGTTCTGCTGCCCGTCGTATCAGCCGCTGGAACTCGGAGCCTCGTTAGCTGCGCCATGCCCGCTGCAAGCTCTTAGCTACCGAGTGGCTCGTGCCGCGGATTGATTGCAAGACCCCAAAACGGGAGGATTGGCGAGAATTTCATCGTCATTCATCGTCGGCGATCGATTGCAGAGGTAATGATTTTCTGTTGCACCTGGACACGATCGTGAGGCTAGCAGTAGCAGGCTGCGGCAGTTGAATCTCCGAGCTGGATCTGCCTCACCACCCATCACTACTGTATTCTGAGCAATGGCTATGAAGTCACACTAACTCAACCATGCACTTGGTGGCCTGAGAACTGCCTTAAAGTTTCTCATCCACAGCTTAAGTTTAGGCTAGGGAAATGCAACTCCTGCCCTACACGCGGCCTGGAATCATTGGCCGAATCCTACCGCGGACGCCGGTCTGTTGCCTTTCACATGTCTGCCCTGGATGCGCATTTTCATTGCTGATCTGTTGCATGTTTCGTTCGATTCGCTTCGAAATACCATGTTTTAGCACGGCCACCGAACAACATCTCCTTCCTCTTTTGCTCATCCCTATCAAGCGTGCTTGGATCTGCTTTTCTGGTAGAAGGTGACGGCGTAGTGCGTGTCCACGAACTCGAGAATGTTCAGCACTTTGTCCCCCGTCTCGCTCAGCTCCAGGATCCAGACAAACTCCATCGGCCAGTCCGTCACCTCGCCCTCAATTGGAACGGTCCAGATATGGCTGCTGTGGACGGTGGACCTCATCTTCTTCGTGTCGACAATGACATCGTTGATTTCAATTTTCATGCCGTGGAGCTTGCCCAACATGGGCGCCAGCGACTCTTCGTACTGTCTGTTGCTCCAACCAGTGGGATGGAACTCCTGCTCGAACGTGGCGGGAGCGATTCGACGGTGTGTGTCGGGCACTAGATCCCGAGAGAGAATGGAAGTATCTTGCGCGTTGAAGGCGTCAACATGGCTGAGCACCATCGCCTTCGATGTCTCTGCCATCCGTTCGTAAAGATCCGTGTTTGCCACCATAGCGATGCTGTTGCTTGAGTTGAAGTGTGATGCCAACCAAAGTGCCGTGAGACGTACCACGACAACAGTGTGGTTTGTGTTCGATCAGTGGCAGATGCATAATCAAGACATCTGATGCCATTAGACCAAGACATTGTTTCAGGCCTACGGCGCCCGAAACGAGTGCCTTGGGATGACCGGGCCCGGAATCCACCGATAATACCCCGTAGATATATGGCTGGATTATTCATCTAACTCACCTAACGAGTCGACAACGATACGTAGTTAGCCGGTGACACAGGGGCACAGTCATCAGATTGCTCACAAATGTTGTAACCTGGACATTGTTTGCGGCAGGTGCTTACGTATGCCGGTTACTAGCACATGTCTCGCCACGAATCGTTCTTCACACTTCCCCTAGGAAGCAGCTGTGAACACTGGAGGACCTTAAATCGAATCTGAAGACGGACATTTCTTTTGCGCTTAGTTGGTCCTTTCTTTTCGCTTGCTGATTAGTAGGGCTCTGGAATTTCCCAATAGTACGTCTCCGGTATCTCAATCGAATATGAGAACGAGTCCATCATATCCATGGCGTCAGACGTGTATGGCGCTTGCTGCGACGTGATATCGGAGTTGGTATCCAAGAATGCCATTTCGTTTTCAGCGCTCTGCGGTCGAGTGTAGAGCACATTCTGCGGTGCCACATTCTGCCCAGAAGCGTAGTCAGGTTTGGCGTAAGACCTTTTGGAAATTTGTATGTTGCCGATCAGGGGAAGGCGCAGCGATATTCGCTGAGGATCTTGCATATTCGGGCGCTGCAAAAGAGAACCCAGTGACTGAATGGCACTCGCGGCTTGCTGTGCAAAGCCATTACCTGAGGTTCCAGGCGAAGAGCCCATGGCATTCACAACTTGGCCAACTAGACTGGTGATGACGCCGACATCGAACCCATGGGGGAACCCCCCCGGGCCGGATTTGTGGGTGATCCTGTAGCTTGCCAACTGCAGGAATACGGCACTCGTGAAGGCTTGCATATCGATGACCCAGTTGGCGAAGAAGCCTGCGGGGGCGGCAGGCCTCAGGAGCAGGTACCGGCTCGCCAGCTCCTGGCAGGCGTTGAGGCATGTGATGAAGTTGAAGGCAAACTGCTCGCTCTGCCCATCGTACGTCAGGGCGAGTTGAAGGTGGATGCGAATGCTGTAGTATTGGTGCCAGTATTGTAGCACAACGTCGATGGAGAACTCGTTCGATGGCTTCCACCACTCGTTGCCGGGAAAACTGGCAAGCGACCGCAGCTCATGGTCGGTCTGCATGACCGCGTTGAACAGCTCCGACGGCGGTTTCCGTGCCGAGATCATACCGTCAAGCTCGGAAACTCGGCTGGCAATGTCGGCAAGGCTGTACAGATACGACTGTGCGTTGACCTGGCCGGTGGAGCAGTCCAAAAGGGGTTCTTTGGGCAGCGGATAGCGCGCCGTGGCCAGAGGAAGCGACCACAGCATCGATGCAAATCTGTCGATGGCACAAACAGACACCCATGCCTGCGCTCTCCGCTTCAGACGAGCAACATCTGGATCTGAAGATGGCGAGTCGACACTGTTGGGCATGGACGCCAGAGTCGCCGTCGCTCGCGGAAGGCCCAGCAACTCTGAGAGCGCTATGACTCTCCGTGTTAGCAGCCACATTTTGGTGACCTTGACACGACCCAGCTGTCTATGGATTGCCTTCATCAGTACTGATTCTCAGAGCGTGCGGGTTGGGTGAGTGAACGTACAACCTGAGGAAGAGCAAAGCCGCCTCGATCCCTTCCAGAGTCCCTCCCAACGCATCGTCTGAGATGACCATTCGTTCAACCGTGTCAGACACAGTCTTGACAAAGGTTGGAAGATGCTGCATGTTCTCAGATTCCGGGAAGCTGGCCGTTGACGGGGCATGCTGCACAGCCATTGCAATGTATAGCAGCAAGGTGGCGAGTGCAATTGGATCGACTTCATGCTGTAACTCGTCGTATCGAGCAAGCAGTGCTTCTGGAGTGTTGTGGACATGGACCATCGGCAGCAACGATGCGTACAGCGGCAGCCATGACGAAGCATATGCTGCAATCGTGATCATGTCCGTTCGAGCTGGGGTCAAGGCCCGCAGAGCAGCGCAGTCTTGCACCCGCTGCGGGCTGGGCGGATGGTGGGATGCCGCTGTGTGGCCATGGCCGGACTCGTTGCCGCCAGAGTCCAGCACACCGTTGTCGAAGAGCTGGAGCAGGTGAATGGGGGCATTCGGGGGAGACAGGCTCTCCGTTGCGTCTGACTCCTCGTCGCAGTCTGGTCCCTCATCCACATGGGATGCATGCGACGGGGAAGGGGGGCGTTCGGCGGACGCGGCAATGCCGCTCTGTGCCTGCAGCTGCCGTACCGCCGCCCAGATGGAGGACTGGCTCCGCTCAAGGTTTGCCAGCCGGGCCCTGGTGGTAATTCGTACAACTTCGGGCCCCGGCGTCCGTGGGCGTTGTGGCTCGCAAAACAGGCCTCTGTCCTCACAATACGCACATCTCAGGGCACCTGGCGCAGGCCAGTCGCAGCGGACTTTGCGTCTCCGACCTGTAGTTGAGTGTCAGCATATCGCCATCTCCTGAGCGAGCTGTCAAGCAGCAGAACACTATGCTTACACTCGGCGCAGCTCTTGGCGTTCTTGCTGGGCCGTTTCGACGAAGGCTCTTCAGTCGACATTGTGTGAGGGCTCCATGAGCGGTGAATATTCATGACAGCGGATTCAGGGAGCGACGGGGCCCACAAGGATACATGTGGCGTCACCCCTTGCGTCTTTCGTCCGAATTCTGGGCTCCGATGTCCGAATTCAAGCTCACGCATACACGTCCAGCCCTGCTCCGGTTCAGCCTCTCAGCACTAGACCGACTCTTTTCAGCATCATTGCCGGCAGCAGTACTGTACTTTCCCCGGCGCATAAGTCCCCTCTATTGCAACCTCTAGGCCTGAGCATTCCCCTATCCATCGTCTTCTTGTTGGCAAGAAGAACACGGAGCGAAGAGTGCACGGCACATCAAATCCGTGGCGGCTAGCGTACCGTCGATCGTTGGTCGGATTGAGATCCCGCTCACCGCTGAGCCGAATAATGTTCGATCCAGTCCAGCCACACTCTTCGGGCCTGTCTCCCCGTTTGACCTCACCTCCAACAACTCCGTCCTAATATGAAACACACGATGCAGTACATTATCGAGACCATGGAGAAGCTGACATCGCTGCATGATCAGTGTTCGGGCCCCAGGATGTCGGATCCGCCCACATTCCTGATATTGCGAGGATTCCTGCGCGGGCGGCAAGGGTTGAGAATCTCGGCATTCATGCACGATATACAGCCAGCCCTCTCCTCCACCTGCATACTCGAGGCGGGAGGCCGACTTGACAGTCTGGCATCTGACCACCAGGAAAAAATTAGCTTCAAGGAGGATCTCAGACAATCCGACAGGACGATGTCACTTCCCCCGGACATTCCCCGCGAATTTGCATTCTTATAGTGTGTACTGCCATTAGTCGAACCCGGCTGCTCCCAAGGCCTGCTGGGAGAAGCTCAGATTGTCCCCGTTGGGCACAGTCCCGCCCGTTTTCGGAAGTTGTGGATAAGCTGGCTCATTGCGGCAAAGTTACTGGACGACGGCGCTCGAACACGCCTTTGCCATTTACGTAGGAAGACGCTCGGCCTGGCGATGAATGATGATTTTTTGGTTCTGCTGACAAGGCTAGCCTTACGACATTGCTTTTGCCTCACCACCAGCCATTGCCAGTCCTGCGGGAAAGAGCATGGCAAAGCCCAAAGAGCAAGAGCCACCCACATAACTGAGCTGCGAGTGGTGTCGAGAGCAGAAGACGAAATGCAACAAACAAGACCCATGTAGCAACTGCAAAGACGAGTGGTGCCGAGTGCAAGACTGTCTTTCGCCGCAGGCTGCCGAGTGGCCATCATGTCGGACCTTCTGGCGATTCTTTTGCCTATGACAGATCCACTTCTCGGACTCAAACCCTCCTAATGGGGCGGGAAGAAAGCAGAAGAGAGCGCAGTTCGTGGCCAGGAGGCCTGGAGAGCCTTGCAGTAGAGCAAGCGGACGGAGGCTTGTATAGCTTCGACGTACTCCCATCAAGCAAAGCGACTGGGACAATATGGCACCAACAAATCTCCAGCACGTCATGTCAGAGAGTCGAAATTAAAGGATCCAGTGCTCGACAGTCAGATGCGTACGAGGCTTTAATTGACGATATGCTTGATTGATCTCCAGACATCCGTTGCACCGAGCAGCCAGCCCATTGTATCTGTCGAGGACGTCAAGCCAGCGTTGAGTGCCGTCTGGAACATCAACGACGAGGATTTTCCGAACCAACCAGGCAGTTTGATTGTACTTCAGGACCGGGAGGAGCTCACAGATGTGACTTTGGCGATGATTTGGTATCATTTCCAAGTCAGCGGGCGGCTCCTCCACGACTCAGGCTCGCTCACCCCCGACGAGGCTGACCACGGCTTGGGGTCGTTTTCGGGCACAAATGACAAATCTCGAAAGCAAGAGGCTCGCGAGCTCCAGCGCAATGCGTTAGGACTACTCAGCTTCTGCGACACGGAGAGTTCTCCATATGCTTGGTTTTACATGGCACACCGCCCAGAATCTGGTCTCTTCGGTGAGAATATCAGCTGTACGTCCGATCGCCAGCGTGCTATCCCCAAGCTCTGCATTCTCGATACCATCGAAACACCATCCAGGGTTGTTCGAGCGTCACATTGGCGTGCTCAAAAAAGCGCTCCAAATGCAAAGAGACCCAAGAGCTGAAGCGTTCCGATGGTTCATTTCGGTGCCATGGACTGAAATCGCCATTGCCATCTCCGAATGTTTGGCCTGTAACGATCCTCGAACAGTCTGCCGAGCATGGCATACTATCGAAGCAGCCTGTCAGTCGTACGGATCGCGAGCTGTGCGTTACAAGACGTATCGCATGCTCGTGCGTCGAATGCAGCAAGTCCAAAGAATGCAGCAGGCGCAGCAAATCCAACAAATTCAGCATATGCAGTAAGCCCAGCAGATTCATAAGACGCAGCAGAGCCAACAGAAGCAGCATGCTCGACTCTGTAACACGCCTCTACCGACGCTGCAGACGCAGCCCAACTATCAATACGAGCATGCTAACGGCGGTTCAATGATGGAGCAGACATCAGTGCCCGTGAAACTAGAGCACCCACTTCCCCCAACACCATGGCCTACTCCAGATACGAACAGTCCCTCGGATGCTAGCTGGATGGCTTCGATTGATAACGGCCCAGGCTGGAGCTCAGCCTTGGGTACAATTGGCGACGGTGGAACAGTCAGTTCCTGGCTTCCGGTTCTACCAACCAAGCCCAGTACTCCAACTCGCAAGCCACCTGGAGTGGCAACAATGCGTTGCAGCAGGCGATCCTCAGCTTGGACTCTTGGCCCAGGTCGGGGATGAGCACGACTTCTTTCGACAATATGAGTGTTGAAGGCGGGGAGATCTTGTAACAGTAGTGGATTTGAACAACCCTGAAATCTCAGCCTTGGGTCGTGGAAATGTCTCATAAGATATGACGCCTGCAGCTGCTCTACATCCTAGTAAAGCGTTGGAGATGAAGAGGGTTGGAACTTGTTCACTTTAGAGAAGCTGAGATGAGCTCCACCGGGCATTGTTACACCAAGAGTCTAGACCTGACGTCAGTGAAGAGACATCTTGGAAGTCTCAGCTCTGCATTCCATCAACATTCACATTTGAACCTCGTCATCACCTTCCCCACAACCAAGCTCGTCGCTCATTTCCCGCGCCTGATGGTATGAGGCCAGGAAGGGGACCACGGGTGGCAGAGACACCGCCCAGCCTTGTCTTCATTGCAGGCTCATGGCATCAAGGCAAATGTTACGAGAGAATCACTCAACCATTGGAGACTCGTCACCAAATAAGATGCACGACGGTCACTCTAACATCCACGCTGGGCGATCCAGAATCATCATTCGAGGATGATGTTGATGCTGCTCGCAGCGCAATAACACTGGAAACTTCACGGAGCAGAGACGTGGTAGTGATTGCCCACTCTTTCGGAGGCATGGTGGGCAACTCGGCCATCAAAGGTCTCAGTAGATCAAAAAGCGCAAAGTCGAATGAGAATATCACATCCGGTGCCGTGATAGGACTTGTCCTCATCGCCTCTGGCTTTACGCTGACCGGCCTCTCATTCATGGATCCGATGTTCGGCATTCCCCCACCCTCCTGGAAAGTCAACAAAGAGACTGGCTTTGCAGACCTGGTGACGCCTCCTCGAGAGCTCTTCTATCACGACTTATCGGCCGAGGATGCCGACTACTGGTTTCGCAGTTGGGATCGCAGAATCTTAAGGCCATGTTCGAAGGCGGCGAGCATGCGTACGCGGGCTGGCAGGATGTACCGACTTGGTATATTGGGACAACCGAAGATAGAGGGATGCCAGTGGTGGTGCAGAGGATGCAAGTCGGCATGGCTAGGGCGATGGGGGGCCAAGTTGTTCATCGGGAACTACAGAGCAGCCATTCACCCTTTCTGAGCATGCCCGACAAGTGTGTGGCGATCATACTTGAAGCCATCGAAGTGTTTACTGGAAAGCCGCTTGACGATGCGTCTGTGTCAAAATCGGCAGAAGAAATGGGCGAGAGAGAATTCGTGGTACCGGCAGTTCGACTCTTACAGCCAACTTCTTGGTTTCGATACGGCATACCGTTCGGACTTGGGCGCTTCGTGGGCAACTGTATCACTGCTTTTGAGTGGATCAGGAGTCTCTGGAGGACAAAACAGCGATGATTCTATCAACTCAGGGGATATGTCTTCAATCCACACTCACCATGTACAGTTCGGCTACCACGTCCTCTTCAGTTGCTCGTTGATACCAGTCACCTTCCATACTCCTCCTTTCCCGACAATCCAAAGCGTGTGGTCCTCAAAAGCGATGTTGACGGCAACGTTGCCCTTGCCACTGATGCGAATGCGCCCAAGAGCGTACCCACTTTCAGGCTCGACGACATCGACGCCATCGCCTGTAGTACAGAAGACGTAACCATTTCGAGAGACGCGGACGCCGTCGCAGAAGTATGAGATTGGATTGTAGAACAGTCGTCGATTGCCCAGCTGGGGCTTCCCGCCGTTTGTATCAAGAGCCCATATCGCCCTTGATCGGAGAGGGAATTTTCCTTTCGGTCTGCCGCTGGAGATGCTGGTGGTGTCGATGTAAAGCGTTCCATCGGCTGCGAAAGCGATGCCGTTGGTATTCGCATCAACACCGCCTTCGACCTCAAAGACCCATTTCGGGGTCATGGTAGTGGTGTTGATGAAGTACACCGCCGGCCCAGTTTGGGGAGCGAAAGTAGTGAGGTAGTTGCTCTTCGAATACGTTAATATGCTTTGCCACAGTTGCGATGGAAGCTACTTACCCAAGTAGACATAGAATCAGTCACCCAGATGTTACCACTGGGGTCGATCTCAAGATCGTTAAATCCAATAAATGGCTGCTGATAGAAGTTGTTGATGAGCGTCTCAGCCTTGAGCGTGTGGGGGTCAACTCGGTAGATGGATGCATAAGTTCCGGCGCCTCCATCGGTGGCAACATGCAGAGATCCGTTGAAGTAGACGCAGCCGTGCGCGTTCATGATGGGAGGTGACGTCGTGATGTTGTGCAATTGATGCGTAGATCCATCGAGAAGGTACTGATAGCTATGATCGAAGCCCCAGCTAGTGAAGAAAAGTGCATTTCGTTCTGTGATGAAACATGACGCCTCGTGGTTGTAAGACAAATTCGTCGACCAGACCTGTTCGACTTTTGCTTCGGGCCCTATGAAGTCGAAGAATCCCGGGTCGAAAGCGACAAAGTTGGTTCCATCAAAGTATTCGTTGCTGTCTGGAGTTAGACAGATCGGCGAACCCCCAGCCTCGAATTGGTAGACTAACGCTTGATGCAGAGCCTGGTTGGACGTGTTTGCTTGCCATGGCGGGAGGAACACTAAGTCGGATAAGTACAATGTAGGAAGGCAGTCATATCTTCCAGGGTACCTACAAGTTCTATTGAATACGGCCGGTATGGCTGCGGTATGGCGAGTGCTGTAGTAGCCCCATGTGGAGCCTGATGCATTCGAAGTGAAAGCACTTGGTAGCGTACTGAGATATGGATTGGATGCAATAGTTGAATTCAAAGACAACTCCATGCTGAATGCAATTGGATACCGAGAACAGGGACAGACGAACGGCAGCATGTCTTCGCTTATGTATCTGGCATTCTGATCGGATCCGTAGCCGGTGATTGTGACCCCTGGCAAGGAAGCTTGTTCCTGTAATGACGGATCCGCTATTCCACGTCCACGTACACTAATGCGTAATCACACGAGTTCTTTCCCCGCATCTACTTCTTTCTCCACGAAAAGGATTCTCTAATATGGGGTCATAGTTTTGCCGTGGCGGCTACTCGGGGTTCAGCCGATCGTGGCTCGGAAGAAGTCCGAGCCTCGCGCAGCCTCGATATTTGGAGACAAACCTCGCAGTGTTCCTAAAGTTGGACTGGACCTCCGCTTTCTAACTTCTCGATTCCACTGATGTTGTCTGGTTTGCGATCCTCCATATGGTCTATTCAGATTACTTCCGAGAGTGGGAACAATTCTATACGAATGATGGAGCAGGATACTTGGTCGTACATGGACTTCCATTGAAAGCATTTTCCCCCTACCTCATCCTCTCTTTCAACTCTTGAACCATTTTCGCAGCATCATAGTTATGTACATTGTCCGCCCATTTACTCAGATATTGCCTCATCTTCTCCATGTCCAGTCCAACGCCCTCTAGCCTGCCACGAAGGAACAGGCCTGCCTCGCCACTTGATCTTGCTACGTCCGATCTTCTCGGCCTACGTACGCTATCGTACACCTGAAAGGCCTTGGCAATGTCTTCTGGCGACTGGACGAAAGCCATTACGGTAGCTAGCGCCAGAGCATCTTCGATCGCTTGACCTGCGCCGGCCCCCTGGGCAGGAGATATGGTCTGAGCTGCGTCGCCGAGCAGACACATGTTTCCTTTCGCGTACGTCGGTGTCTGTACATGCGTCTTTACCGCGCCTGCATAGATCTTTGCGTGGCGTTGGTGAGCCTTGAGGGAACAATCAGCGCATTGATAACATGGATTCCCACTCCATTGCAAGCCCCTTACTGCCCAGACTTCTTTCCCAAAATCGCCAAACTCCATCGCCAAGTCTTGCTTCAACACCTCTCCATCCAGAACACCCCAGTCCTCTTCTCGATCCCACGTTCTTTTCCCCCCAAAGTTCGTGATTAACTGCATCTTCTTCCCGTCATCAAATCGATCCGTCAACACGACACAGCCGTTCCCAATCCAGATGTTTTGGACTTTGAGCTTGCAATACTCATCGCCAAAGGCGTTGATCCCGTCTTGAATTGGAATGATCGTCCTGGAGTGGTAAGAGCCACTGCGAGAGGATTTGACAGATTCAGGATGCTCGGGCAAGAGAACAGCCGTTCGGACGACACTGTTGACACCATCACAACCAATGACGGCGTCCACAATCCGTGATGAGCCGTCCTCGAGATGTATCTTCACTTGACAAGGATTACCAGTACTGGAGGCTGCTTGGTCTTCGACTTTGATGATGCGCTGGCCCGTATGGATGGGAATGTGGCTGATGGTCTTTTGTAGCTCTCTTTGAAACGCCCCACGACCGACGATGATTTGCGGGATTTCATGGCCAATATCTGCAATCCACTCGCCGTGTCCTTGCCCAGGAGAAGCCATCTAGCTCGATGGTTAGCCCTGACGGTTTAAAGATGGACATGCCTGAACTGATATCTCACCATGACCCTCGCACTTGGGTCCATCCGCACACCTCCTGCACGATCTATTGCACTCCGTAGTATTGGATCCATTAATTCGAGCGCTCTCTGGGCATTACTTCCTAATCCAAACGCCTGGCCATCTTCGCCTGGATCTTGTCTCGCTTCGAAGATCTGCACACGCAGATTAGGGATGTCGCCCAGTGCTCGAGCCAAACACATAGATGCGATGCCACCTCCAGCTATGGCAATGTCCAGCGGCTGTCTGATTCCGGCTGACGGCATGATGATGCGTGTGGCCTTGCCCTGGGACACGTCGGATGGGACCGTGGTGTTCACTGCAGAAAATCAAGATGGAACAAGAGAAAGCATAGATCTCGGAGCTTCGTCGAGAGAAGCTCAGCTGAAGGATCTCTTCCGTCGTGACCTCCTAATTAGGTTGAGCAGATCCTGTAAGAAGCAACGACCTCGTATTATCCTGCAGAACATGGGTAGAATCCGTGCATTGCTGGTGAACGAGGCTTTGTCAGCTATCATGTCTTGTGTCTCATGCGTTGAATCAACTCAGTCACACATCGGAGCTTTCAATTTCTCGCGTCACTTCCACCGCCGTGCAATGCTACCACTAGTGCTTACAGCTGCCATTCAACGTCTCCCACTCGGCCTGTCCCTCGCTTGTTCGAAATGTCTTTCAAGCCTTTGACCACAGTCGCCACCGCATCACCTAACCTCGTCGTTCCGCTCAAAGTGGTATGAAACAGCAAGAATGACCTGGCACAGTCCTCTCTCCAGAGTCTGGAGCGACTGAATTCTAAATCTGACTTTTGATTTATTAGACCGCTAGCGAGCAATGGGATGGATCATCCACTGGGAGCCAAAATGAGGACGGTATACTAGCTATTGATTGGTAATGGACGAACGAATACTTGTGCTAACAATGACAGGCAAGTTGTTAGTTGGAGCCTTTCGACTTTGAGAACTAGGTGAAGTCAAGTTAAAAACTAACGTAAAGCTGCAACGACGGGTCGGAGAATCTTCGATTCTATGAAGTGGACTTCTTGCAAGATCAAGAGCAATACGTGTGTAGAACGGAGTCATGTTTTTAGCAAGGCATGATTTCGAGCTGCAGTGTTGGCTCCACGCATCGCAGTCGTCATGTCGGTATACTCTTCATCCATCGGATCGACTATGCCCCAACCTCTAGCACTAATGTTCTCAATGTACCTACACCAATGCCAACCCAAACACTATTTCTGGGCTCTTAGCGACTCGGCTACGGAAGAGTAGTCTCGACCGCGCTCTTCTTAACTGCGCAGATCCGAGACTCGGTTTGGATTGTGCGACGTGCTGCACCAGTTCCCAATGTTAGCAATTATAATTAGTTTGCCGTTAGCCTAGTTAGACTAGCCTTGCAAGTCCTTCACCATTCGGCCGTAGTCCTCTCGCTAATAGCTACTATAGAAGTATTAGATGAAAAGTAGATCGATAAACTCTAATACTGCTTTAACGACTCTAGTAGGATAGGCTCTATTTCCGTTAAATCTATCGCCGAGGATTAAATAGTTAGGATCGATCGCCTTAATAGTAGAGACTAACGACCGGTAGTACTCGCGGGCTACTTTAATAATATAAGAGTCCCTCTCTAATAGAGTAAGTCCGGCTAAAGATAGGAAATCGCGGCTAGTAGTATACCTACCCTAGCTACTAGGGTATTAGCGCGAGGATATAGTTAATAAAAGGAGGGAGATAAACGAAGAAATATCGACGAAGAAGTAACCGATATAAAGCTCGCTATCTCGATATATTATATAGATACTACGAGTAAAATATACGTACTAGTCTTTAAAAAAAGTCGAATACGGGTCGATATAGTCTAGGTTCCTATTCTAGTCTTAGATATTTATAGCTAGTATCTATATAATATATAGTATACTATAGCTACGTAACTCCTCCTAGGTCTAGCTTTCTCTATATAAGACGTAGATAACTTTATTCCCCTAGTTAGAGGCTCCTCCTATATTCGTAGCGTTATAGATCTATTCTTATATCTAGCCGAGAGTATTAATTCCTAGAGATTAAATTCTCGAGACGTTTTTCGTAATAAAGTCTTAACGATTTCGGTACTTCGAGTTATATTTATTATAATTTCCTAGATATAGTAAGTTACCTTTATCGACGTAGTTAACGCTAATAGAATAGAACGGTTAGCCGTAATTATCGTAAAGTAGCTACTAGCCGTCTAAGCGTTACTTTATAGTAAAAAATAGTATAATATATAATTAGGTAGAGCGTTATTATTAGGATCGGTACGTTAATCCTAGAATCTTACTTAGTACGGGTACTAAGCTTAAGTCCTTAGTTAGAGCTCGTTAAAGGGAGAGAGTTGGTAGACTACTAAGATAATCTTAAGGTAGAGGTTTAGGTATAATCGTAAACTAAATAGTAAGATTAAATAGTAAGTTAAACGCTATTATAATAAGTATAATATCGTTCCTATATACTAAGGAGATTCGTCCTAATCTATATACTTAGTATACTTAGTTACTCTATTTACTCTACTACTTAG